AGGACAATGTATTTACTATTAATTTATTCATGCAATAATTTCCACCTTTTATCAAGATAGAAAACATGTGATAATTATATCAACTAACAAAATTATAATTGGAGTGACAGATTTATTTTTGATTTTGGGCCCAGTTTTCAAGTTGGTCCAAATCGGGGTCCAAAATTAAACTGTGTTTGATTTCAACATAAATTGAATATATATGTAAGGATCTTTGAAATGCTGAATCTAAACCTGTATTTAAATTTTGGATTTTTGGGCCCAGTTTTCAACTTGGTCCAAATCTTGGTCCAACATTAACTTTTGTTTCATTTCAACAAAAATTTATGGGGTTCTTTGAAATGCTGAATCTGACCATGTATTTAAAGATTTTGGATTTTGGGCTCCTTGATCAAATTGGTCCACATTGAGGTCCAAAGGGTCCTAAATTAAACTTTTGTTTGATTCCACAAAAATCGAATTCTTGGGGTTCTTTGATATGCCGATTCTAACAATGTACTTATATTTTGGATATTGGACATAATACATACATGTAGGTAAATGTCCAATTTCAAATTTTTCAGTTCTTTGACTACATTCATTTTGTGTCACAGACCTATGCTCTGTCAAATATTCAATCACAATCCAAATTCAGAACTGTTTTAAGTTTAAATGTTGTGTCCATACTTGCTCAACTGTTCAGGTTTGACCTGTGCAGGAAAATCCGGTTTGCTGTCACTCTGACAGCCTCTTGTTAATGTGCTATCTTGGAAGGTAACATTCACTGGAAGACTTGTTACTCATTCTGGACACATTATTCGGACTAAGGTGTGCTTTGGTATATATTCCCCTGAATGTTATCTTAATGCAGAATCAACAAAAAATTGCAGATCTAAGATTGAAAGTCCATTGGACTTTGAACTTGCACTATCATATTTCTCATTTGTGAATGTCTTATCTACCGTTCATTATTTCTTTTTCCTGACTTGTACCCCACTGATTACTAACAATTGGGTAATGTTTCTTCAGTCAAGCCATCATTTACTTCATTACACACGATTGATAAGTATTTAGATGACCAGTTGTGTTTCCTTAACTAGCCTGTCTGGAAATCTAATAAGGTTGTTTATTGCCTGTTGAAACTGTCCAGTTCTTTGTTATGTTTTGTTATCCAGGAAAACAGTTCTGTTTTTGATGGTTGATCAATAATGGAATTGAGAGTACTTGCTCAGTCATATCAGTCCAAAAACTTTTGAACATAATAAAAAAAAAAAGTGCTACACATGCTGTATTTTTCATGCAATGTACATTTTGTAACGTAGTACAGAAATGTAAATTCTGTAGAATGCGTAAGATTGTCAATCTTTAGAAAAGAGAGGCGAAAGATACCAAAGGGACATTCAAACTTATACTGACAATGCCATGGCTAAAAAAGAAAAAGACAAAGAGACAAACAACACAACATAGAAAACTAAAGACTGAGCAACACGAACCCCACCAAAAACTGGGGGCGATCTTAGGTTCTCTGGAAGGGTAAGCACCACATGTGGCACCCGTCGTGTTTTTCAAACAAACTATCTTGCCCTCAGATACTGTCCTGACTACAATCCATATGATTAAGAGGATGGATTTTTCATACCCCTACTTTTGAAGAGGACAGTATAAAGTGAAACAGTTTTTGTTCTTCAGTCCATTGGTCCTTCAATCCACATTTTGTATCCAATAGAACTCCTGAACGGTTTGATAGATTTTTGTGAAACTATCACAGAATCTTACTCGCACAATGTTCTTCTGCTCCTCATTTTTCATTTCTTGATCCAAATGTTTTTTTTATGCCCCCGCCGTAGTGGAGGGGGCATTAAGTTTTACCCTTGTCCGTCCGTACATCCGTACATCCCAAAATTGGTTTCCGTTCTCTAACTTTAGTTTGCCTCAACCAAAACTATTACACAATGCTTATTACCACAAAACACAGATCAAGTTGGAATTTTGGTGGCGTCACTTTTACCGTTCTAGAGTTATGCCCCTTTACAAATGGAAAAATTGCTGAATTTTTCGTTTCCGTTCTTTAACTTTAGTTTGCCTCAACCAAATGTTATGAAACTTATACACAATGCTTATTACCACAAAACACAGATCAAGTTTGAATTTTGGTGGCGTCACTTTTACTGTTCTAGAGTTATGCCCCTTTACAAATGAAAAAATTGCTGAATTTTTCGTTTCCATTCCCTTACTTTAGTTTGCCTCAACCAAATGTTATGAAACTTATAAACAATGCTTATTACCACAAAACACAGATCAAGTTGGAATTTTGGTGGCGCCACTTTTACATGTTTTACCGTTCTAGAGTTATGCCCATTTACAAATGGAAAAATTGCTGAATTTTTCGTTTCCATTCTCTAACTTAAGTTTGCCTCAACTAAATGTTATGAAACTTATGAACAATGCTTATTACCACAAAACTCGGATCAAGTACAAATTTGTGAGCGTCACTTTTACAGTCCTTGAGTTATGTCCCTTTATAACGCTATATGCAAGCGGGGGCATCATCTGTGTCCCATGGACACATTCCCCATTTATTTATTTGGTTAAATTTGGCATGACATGGAATTTGTTGTATCTGCGCTGTACAGTACACATTTGTATCAACTTCACCTAATATTTAAACCCTGTTTAAATTTTTCAGAATATTTTAACACGTGATATTTGCAGGCGTTTGTCTTTGTATGTGTATATAAAAAAGAAGATGTGGTTTGATTGCCAATGAGACAACTCTCCACAAGAGGACTATGGTGGTTAGTAAAGACTGATGTGCTGTCATATATACATTTGTATTTTTGGTGATTCCTGTTGTACTTGTTATGTATTATTGAAACAGTTGGAATCATTGTACATTATAGAAGTTAATGATTGTAACAACTATGACTTCTCTTTTTACTCACTACAGATCAATAAATCTGGACTTTCAAGCATATCAATTGAATTTGTTGCTTTCTAAACGGTGATTTTTATTGTATTCAAGGAAGTTTTCTATAATTTTGAATTAATTACACTGACAGCAGGTGTGCTGTATTAGATATCATACAGAGATATAACTTTTGTTCATTTTACCTTTCATGTTCCAAAGAGCTTCTTTGTCTGTTAGGTTTAAATTGATTGAGTTATGCATGTGAATAAAGTCACTGTTTTAGAATACAGCAGCAAAATGATGCATCATAATATTACCATTATAATCAGTCAATCACAAATCAAAAGCTTGAGAACAAAAGGCAAATTGTCATCTCAAAAATTTTGTCAATTCTATATTTTTATGATTATTTGTTGAAAATTGATTATATAATGTCTTAGTGAGGAAAAAAATCCACATTTTTGGACGCCCTTACCTAGAAGAGACCGACTTCTCAAGGACATTTTATTACAGAGGACAGTCTGTAGCCAGACCAAAAATCACTGTTAACTATTACTTTCAGCAATAACTTATGATGAATCATATTGATGATAGCCCATTACTACCCTCATGTATTAGACAAACCTTACTTCCTTGTTTCAAAAGAAACATTACATAATGAACTACTGTGTACTATCAGTGGATGTGATAAGAAATGTTTTTTTGAGTTACAATGTCATTGCCATATTATTTGATTGATACATAAGGTAAATCAATATTTTAATGTCATTAGTTTTTTTTAAGTCTTTAATATGGATCAATTATTAAAGATTTCCTGACTATACAGGTAAACATTTACAAGTTGAGTTAACCAGCCATTGTTGCACTGTCCCAAATTCAAGCATAGCCTTATCTTGAGAGTTTATGGACCAGCTTACATTCCACAATATAGCATTAGCAAAGTCTTACTTTAATATGAATGTTTCTTTAGAACTAACTTACACACTTATGTATTACATTCTCTAGGGGAGCATTAGCCTTAAATTTTGCTTGCGGTTATTGCATTGTGGGTTTGTAAAAACAGTCAAATGATTGGTTGTGAGTCTTGGATTGTAGTTTTGTGAAACAGTCAAATGATAGGTTGTGGGTCTAGCATTGTGGTTTTGTGAAACAGTCAAATGATTGGTTGTGAGTCTTGCATTGTGGGTTTGTAAAACAGACAAATGATTGGTTGTGAGTCTTGCATTGTGGGCTTGTAAAACAGACAAATGATTGGTTGTGGCTCTTGCATTGTGGGCTTGTAAAACAGACAAATGATTGGTTGTGGCTCTTGCATTGTGGGCTTGTAAAACATACAAATGATTGGTTGTGAGTCTTGCATTGTGGGCTTGTAAAACAGACAAATGATTGGTTGTGAGTCTTGCATTGTGGGCTTGTAAAACAGACAAATGATTGGTTGTGGCTCTTGCATTGTGGGCTTGTAAAACATACAAATGATTGGTTGTGGCTCTTGCATTGTGGGCTTGTAAAACATACAAATGATTGGTTGTGAGTCTTGCATTGTGGGCTTGTAAAACAGACAAATGATTGGTTGTGGATCTAGCATTGTGGTTTTGTGAAACAGTGAAATGATTAGTTGTGGCTCTTGCATTTTGTGGGTTTGTAAAACAGACATATGATTGGTTGTGGGTCTTGAATTGTGGGTTTGTGGTTCTTGCTTTGGGGGTTTGAGGAAAAAACAAATTATTTACTGATCAGACAAATGTCAGTTTATGTGTATACATTACCATTATTAATTTGTAAATTGGACAATTTGTTGGTTTGTATATAAGAAAAATAAATGGTTCGTTGATAAGATCATTGCTGAGTGGTTCAGAAAAAATGTCTTGGTCTAATATATTTAAAGTTTTTATATCCTCGTTTATTGGTAAAACAAATCACATGTTGGTGTGTCATACTTTAAAACTTCTCATAGTTCATCATATGACGTTTGTATTTAATCAAGTATTCAATTTTGTAAATTTGTGGAGAATGAAATCCACTATAAATTATACCACACAAATAATGATAATACTTTTAGAATTTGTCACATTCAAACAATATTGTCTAAAACTTTGATTTATTCTGTTTTTAGGTCTTGTGAAGCTTGGTGTTCATTGTGTGTCAGGAAAACGTGTAGCCATAAAGATTGTCAATAGAGAGAAACTTAGTGAATCGGTTTTAATGAAGGTAAAAATTTTTAAAATTTCTCTAGCTATTTACAAAATGTATATAGAAAATCCTGTTCTATGTATGTACTGGTAGATTCCTCTATTATTCGGAGCACTCCTCAAGAGCTGCAAGGATACAGTGGAATCTGTGTACACACCCTATAACTGTTAATGAAGATGTGTTACTACTTTATGTACAATCTACCACCAAGGGAGTGTTAGAACACTCTGAAGTCTGATATTGTGGTTGAGAAAGCAGAAATACTGAAGAGAACCACAGGGCTGCTCCGGAGAAACAGGCAAACCTGATAGATATTAGCAGATTGATTTCCAGGTCAAAGTTTGGGCCACTTTGACCAACCAAGGCCCCAAAAGTTTGTTGTGTTAACCCAATAAACATGTAAGTAAAAGGACAGTGTGAAGTATACAGCAAGCCAACCACAGTAAAGGTGTGCCTGGGGTATCCTTCAGTAACCTCTAAAAATCACACAACTCATTTGAATAATTTATTTGATGTTCTGTTAACATGGTAACTGTTTTGTAGTCCACTGATTTAAGATTTAGTAGGGGGACGTTTCAGATTCCAAATAGACCTGTCCCAGGTCTGTCACCTTGTCACTGTTGTCTTATGTCATATCTTAAAAGTTTTCTGTCTTGCCTGTGATGATGGTTGCAAACGCAGCGAGACATAGGGATGATAATTCCAGCAGCGACTACATAAACTTTTTGTGTAAAGCTTTATATTTCAGAAGGTAGAAGAGCTAGATACTTCATTCTTTATATAAAGATGCCTTTTTTCTGATGTTTCTGTCTGTCATCAAATGTCCATTGTGCTTGACCTCATTTTCATGGTTCATCAAATGCTTAAAAAAAACTGTCAAACCTTTTATAAGGTTCACCTCTATAAAGCAAAAACTTTTCTTGTCAAGTCACTATCTTCTTGTCTGTTGTATTTAAACTTTTTCATTTTGAACTTTAATTCAAAGGTCACCTATAGTGTAAGGTCAGTGTACTCTGGTCCCAAGATTCACCTTTAGGTACATTTATCTCATAAGATTCTTCGTTATTATGAGTTAGGTTATAGGATAACTATATTTGGTATAATGGATTGTTGCAAAGTCTGTCAGTTTGGGGTTCACCTGACCTTGACCTCATTTCATCGGTCAGTGATATCAGATGTAATACCCAATAGGTTAAATATATTGGATGTGTGGTTTGCTTGGAAGGTGAACATGTCTGGCAGGGTCCTGCCTGACCTTGGCCTCATTTTCATGGTTGATTTGTCAATGCTAAGTTTTTGTGGTTTAGTGTGTGTCTTAGATACTATCATAAGCAATATTGTGTATGGAAGGATTGTAAAGTGTACATGTCTGTCTGGCAGGGTTCATCTGTCCTTGGCCAAATTTACATATAAATCATTGATAATATTAAGTTTTTATGATACTTGTTATCAAATCTTTATCTTAATGACTTACTATCATAATCAGTAAAGCGTGTGAGGTAATTTAGAGGGTGCACTCTTTTGTTTATTTATTCATTTACCACTTTTTAGACAGGTGATTTGGAGCTCGATAGTAAAGAAGCCTGTCTATTGTTAAAGACTGTATGTTGACCTCTGAACTTTTCTGTTTATTTGTGTAAAAAAGTTTTTCTCTGATATGTTGAACAATATCGAGCAATGTTTTACAGTATTGTCTATTGGTGTCTCTGATATGTTGAACAATATAGAGCAATGTTTTACAGTATTGTCTATTCGTGGACTTCTCAAAGTATAATACTTCAGATATCAATAATTAATACTTACTGAACCAGAAAAAGATGTACAGGGTAAAGCAATATTAATTGAATTATGCTAGGAAGCTGTTGGTGATGCATCCTTATAGAAATATTATTTGGTTGAAGATGAACTATATTTTACTGATGAGGATAAGCAGGTGTGGAAAACTTAAGTTTTTTACAATTAAAAAACTAATTGCATCTAGCTGTGATGTTGCAGTGTGCAATATTGGTGTATAACATTCTGTGTAAATTTTGAAATAAATCAAATTAAATAGAAACTTCAATCATTCTGTCATATCTGATTTAAACGTTGATACTGAGTAACATGTTATAATCTTAAGAAATGAGATATATCTGCATTGATAGTGAAATTATTCAGTACTAGTTTCCTATGTGATGGGGAAAATATGGCAGATAATTCAGATTGTTTGATAATTCCGAAGAGAAATTGTGAATCTACTCAGGGAGTCTCCTATAGTAACATCCTTGCTTTGGTCTTATTTGCATGATTTAAAACACAGTAATTGATGTCTGAAAGAAATATTTTTATGAAGAACACATACTTTCTAAAACTTTACAATCTACATGAATCAAGAAAAAAATAAAATCAATCATCTTGGGAAAATATTCATATCAAATCTTTACTTGAAGATTAATTTTAAGCTGTTGTTGTCACATTTTATTTATTTTGTTTCAAATACATTACATCAAATACTATCCATTCTTGTAAAAATTTTGTAAATTAAAATTTTAAATGTAAGAAAAATCTAATAAATTTATATCTATTGTTTATCTAATTAACTATTACTAGAAGGTCTTAGCAATGAAATAAACACACTTGCCTACAATAAAAAAAGATGGCTGTAGTATGAATAAAAGGAGATATGGGGTAAACATATTGAAGAGACAGCAACCCAACAACCCAAATAATCAAAAGACATATAGAGGGCAGCACATACAGTTTTTAATAAGTGACAGGTCGCAATGCTCTAAATCAGCTGGGGTCTAAAAGAAGATGTAAATAGATTTAATAGAAACAACTAAAGATCTTTCATTAAACCAAATCCTTTTTACAAAAACATTAAGATATGACATATATGACAACTACTAATGAGATTCTCGACTTGGGATAACTTTAAAGGATTTCTCATAATTTTTATATAAATGACGCAAGTTTTCATTTGAGTATGTAGAAAAAACTGAAACTCTTAAACAAATATTACACTCTGAAGTACATGTTATTTGTTAAATAAGTGTTCATGCAGATTTTGTGCATGTACCAAGTCTGGATATCTGGACCATGTATCAGCACAATGAATGTAGAGAATTAACTTTAAAGTATTCATGTGTTAAATTATTTTGTTATGGAATTGATTTGTTGCTTGTTCATCTAAAACCTCTGTTAACCATTCTATGTTGAATAACATTCACCTTATGGCACTTAGATTTAAGTTAAAAGGAGAGTATTATTTTTAACATGTTTCCTGTCTTTGAATTATTTCCATAGATATACAATGTACAGATGAATTTAATATAGCTGTGTTTACTGCCATTATTATTAGTCCCCTACCGACGAAGTCGAAGGGGACTTTAGGTTTGCACTCTGTCCGTCCGTCTGTCCATCTGTCCGTCTGTCCATCCGTCAGTCCGGCAAATCAGCTTTCCACACTTTTTTTCTTCGTTCTTGAAGATATTGATTTGATATTTGGTATATAGTTTTATCATGACAAGTTATAGATCAAGTTCAAATTTTGTTCTGGTCTGATGATTTAGTCCAGAGTTATGGACCATAACTCTGGACCATATCTAATGTTAGAGTACTATGTTAAACCATATTTCTGTACAAAGGGAGATAACTCATTTTTTAAAAGGCATTCTTTGTTAAATTATTTGAAGAATTTTTTGGCAGGTTTGTTTGTTATTTAGTATAAACTAATTTTCTGAATGCTATAGATATAAAAAAAATTATGATAATAATCTATTTTTATTAATGTATATATTTCAATACATTACATTGTGTAGATAAATGTTGTTGACATTTTATAGATAAGTTACAAATCTATTTTAGTTTGTAACAAATGAAAGAAAAAATATTTGGAACTATTAATTATATTTGATTATGATTTGAAAATAGATATACACTGTATTACATCATATCTAATTTTAGAGAACTATTAATCATATCTAATGTTTTTTTCACTCATATAATCAGTTTTCCACACTGTTTTTAGTCATGCTTGAAGATGTTGACATATCATGATCATATTTACTTTTTGTTTACACCATGACAAGTTATCGATAGAACAAGTTAGCATTTTGTTACAGTAAAATGAATTTTTACCCGGTAGGGGACTATGTATTGCCATGCAATACTCTCAGAATGCTTGTTTAAGTAGTCATTTGGGGGTCATTTGAAAAAAACTTCAACAAAGTTTTTGGTTACTTATTTAAAAAAAAAAAAACTTTCCCTTATATCTTAGAGCTTATATATAAACCACTGTAATCCAGTTGGAAATCTGATATAAACTATATTACAAAACCAGTTATTGTCTTTGGGGAAATCTGTTATATTACATACAAGTTATTCCCCAAGGAAGTTTTTTTACGAAATGTCTTAGATAAATTAGTCACATTGTACATTGTATAATTATGTTTAACTTTGTATTAAGTGTTTACATAACCAGAATGTTCTGTGATGCCAAGGTCTTCTGCCTACATTTTCCATGGATAAGATTCTGTAGGGAAAATAACTTACACTCAAAGAATATTGTGGTATTTGCTAATTAGAATATATACATTGTGTTATATAGCTCCCTTTATTAAATCTGCCTTGAACTTCAACAGAATCAATGTTGTCTATCGATTAATCAGTTCCAATATAATTTATCAGAGTCTGTTCTTACTTTTATATTTGATAATGTCTGGGAGAGGACTCTTTGTTTTCTTCCTAATTTTATTTTTATTGATAGATTTGTTTTACTTAAAGCAAAGAAGAATTTCTTATTACGATATAATACCAGCAATTCAATAAAATATTACAATAAAAGAATTAGTAATATTTGAAACAAGAATGATGATGAATCAGCATATATTTATTATAGGAATACTGTTAAAGGTTTTACAATGATTTGGGTCAGCAGAATGATAGGTTGTGCGGTCAACTCAAAAGAAAGATGGACATGGCATCTCTTAAAAAAGAATGCCATATTTATAGTGTTTAAATCCCTGGACAGTTACATTTATGGCATATTTATATGAATTCTGATTTCTTTATGTGTGCTGTATACCAAATAAATTCTGGTTTAACACAAACAAGAATACTAATCATTTCAAACAGAAAAAACACACAAGTGTGAAGAAGGAATACACTAGTGCATTTCATATACTGGGAATTCTGCATAATAGAATGAAAAATAAACACACTTAAATAGAGTAAGGGATAGTACCGGTACTATTAGTAGGAATTCTGAGTTTTAGTCATAAAGTGCTGGTAAATTATTTTTTATTCAAATCCAAAAAAATTGTTGGCAATACGAATGAAAGAATATATATGTATATTTGAGATATAAATATAAATTTGTCTTTTATAATAACACAACAAATCAACTACAAATGTACTAATTTGGTTCTGAAAGTCGTTTAAAGCTAAAATGGTGCAAATGCACCTGCTACTAAAGTAAATAGAAAGAAAGAAGGAAGGAAAAAGAATGTACATACTGAATGTTTTGAAAAGTCAAATTCCTTTAAAGGGCAGTGATCTAACTATTATTTAGTATGTGAATACAAACAAATGATTTAGTACTGTTGTCTTAATTACAGAAATGAGACAGATAAGGACTTTATCCTTTTTGTGATAAATAACAAACGAACAAAAGATTTGTGGATAATTGAGAGGATAGACTTCTTGGTATAGTCTGTCTGCATTCTAATGCTGGCTGTCACTTACCAAGTTCATTAATTCATGCTGCTGGCAACTCAGATACTGTTCATTAACTGAATAAGTTTTGTGGTACCTTTGAAAAATCTCGCAAAATACATTATATCGCCCAAGTTTGAATAACCAAATTTTCTCCATTAGTGGGTGTTGGTTTAGGATAGGTAATGGTTTGTGAGATTTCTCCTAATTTATAGAAAAATAAAGTGTTTTTGGATAGTTAATTTCAATTTCTTTTAAAGAACAACAAACCCATTGAACATTTGATATCATAGAAATAAGAGTTACAGCATTTGTTTTCAGGGTTCAAAGGTGATAAATATATGTTCTCCAAAAAGTGCAATCCTAATTTCATTAAGTCTGTAAAATTTAAGAAGATTATAAAAATTATGAATTAACTACTGTTTATTTATTTTATTGTAGGTCGAAAGAGAAATAGCCATTATGAAGCTTATAGAACATCCACATGTGCTAGGACTATTTGACGTATATGAAAACAAAAAATACTTGTAGGTATCATTAACTAGAGAACAAGGAAGTAGAAATGTCATTAGGTTGTCATCTTGCGAAACTTGTTTTTTTTAATTGCAAAATTAAGCTTTTTATTTTCCTTATATTAAGTTATGCTAATGCTTTGCCTTTTGTTGGGCACATGTTTTATTCAGAAGTAAAAAATGATTTATTACTATTTTACTGTGTTGTTGAGTGGAATAATGTACTTTGGTTAACTCGATGACAGATGTATGTTATAACAAGTGCATTTGCAGATGTATAGTTCTACCAATAGATGCTTTGTTAATTTAGCATCTTTTTAATAAATCTAACAATTTTTTTTTAATAAATGTAGAAAATATATTTACTGTTTGGGAAGCTATGGGAACTAATATTGCAGCTGCAGAATTTATTCTTTAAAATTTGGTTCAATTAAGATTAAATTTTTGAAAAAAAGCAGATATATAATGTTTTTTTTCTAGATCTCACTTACAAAGAAAGTGCAGAAAGCTGAACAAAAGTGTGCTGTGTCCAGCTTTGGGGGCATCTGCATCTACAAATGTTGCAGTTTGTTAAGTGTCTCAGTGTCAATATTTGATTTTTATGTTAAAATTAATTATAATAAATTATCCTGTTGAAGAGAATGCTCAAGAGAATCCTAAATAAATGACAGTGTATATTTTTCATAAATCAATTTTAGCTGCAAATTTCTAATAGCAAATAATATGGTGATAACTTGACAATAATTTTAGTTCTTTTGATATTCATAAGCCAGGAACATGATTTTCATAAATCTTTCCTTATCCAAACTTAGCTTCAAGCAAACAATATTGTGTTTTGCATATAATAAATCTGTTTAAAGAACAACAATTATACAAACAAATCCATCAACTATCTTTGCAGACCAAATAGAAAATCTCCTTTTATTTTGTAGCCATGAACATTTCAGTATTGTCTTACAATCAGTTGTAGTTGTTAGATCTTTTTTATAAGAGCCTTTGAACTACATGTATACATGATTATAAGAATATATTATGTCACTGGTCTGTTTTCCAGAGAACAGCACAAAGAAACCTGTATAGAATCATGTATCTGTTTTGTCATCATTCTTGTCTATAGAGAACAGCACAAAGAAACCTGAATAAAAACATGTATCTGTTCTGTCATCATTCTCTTGTCTATAGAGAACAGCACAAAGAAACCTGAATAAAAACATGTATCTGTTCTGTCATCATTCTCTTGTCTATAGAGAACAGCACAAAGAAACCTGAATAAAAACAAATATCTGTTCTGTCATCATTCTCTTGTCTATAGAGAACAGCACAAAGAAACCTGAATAAAAACATGTATCTGTTCTGTCATCATTCTCTTGTCTATAGAGAACAGCACAAAGAAACCTGAATAAAAACATGTATCTGTTCTGTCATCATTCTCTTGTCTATAGAGAACAGCACAAAGAAACCTGAATAAAAACATGTATCTGTTCTGTCATCATTCTCTTGTCTATAGAGAACAGCACAAAGAAACCTGAATAAAAACATGTATCTGTTCTGTCATCATTCTCTTGTCTATAGAGAACAGCACAAAGAAACCTGAATAAAAACAAATATCTGTTCTGTCATCATTCTCTTGTCTATAGAGAACAGCACAACGAACCTGAATAAAAACATGTATCTGTTCTGTCATCATTCTCTTGTCTATAGAGAACAGCACAAAGAAACCTGAATAAAAACATGTATCTGTTCTGTCATCATTCTCTTGTCTATAGAGAACAGCACAAAGAAACCTGAATAAGAACATGTATCTGTTCTGTCACCATTCTCTTGTCTATAGAGAACAGCACAAAGGACCTGAATAAGAACATGTATCTGTTCTGTCACCATTCTTGTCTATTGAGAACAGCACAAAGAAACCTGAATAAAAACATGTATCTGTTCTGTCACCATTCTCTTGTCTATAGAGAACAGCACAAAGAAACCTGAATAAAAACATGTATCTGTTCTGTCATCATTCTCTTGTCTATAGAGAACAGCACAAAGAAACCTGAATAAAAACATGTATCTGTTCTGTCATCATTCTCTTGTCTATAGAGAACAGCACAAAGAAACCTGAATAAAAACATGTATCTGTTCTGTCATCATTCTCTTGTCTATAGAGAACAGCACAAAGAAACCTGAATAAAAACATGTATCTGTTCTGTCACCATTCTCTTGTCTATAGAGAACAGCACAAAGAAACCTGAATAAAAACATGTATCTGTTCTGTCTTCATTCTCTTGTCTATAGAGAACAGCACAAAGAAACCTGAATAAAAACATGTATCTGTTCTGTCATCATTCTCTTGTCTATAGAGAACAGCACAAAGAAACCTGAATAAAAACATGTATCTGTTCTGTCATCATTCTTGTCTATAGAGAACAGCACAAAGAACTTGAATAAAACATGTATATGTTCTGTCATCATTCTCTTGTCTATAGAGAACAGCACAAAGAAACCTGAATAAAAACATGTATATGTTCTGTCATTATTCTCTTGTCTATAGAGAACAGCACAAAGAAACCTGAATAAAAACATGTATCTGTTCTGTCATCATTCTTGTCTATAGAGAACAGCACAAAGAAACCTGAATAAAAACATGTATCTGTTCTGTCACCATTCTCTTGTCTATAGAGAACAGCACAAAGAAACCTGAATAAAAACATGTATCTGTTCTGTCATCATTCTCTTGTCTATAGAGAACAGCACAAAGAAACCTGAATAAAAACATGTATCTGTTCTGTCATCATTCTCTTGTCTATAGAGAACAGCACAAAGAAACCTGAATAAAAACATGTATCTGTTCTGTCATCATTCTTGTCTATTGAGAACAGCACAAAGAAACCTGAATAAAAACATGTATCTGTTCTGTCATCATTCTCTTGTCTATAGAGAACAGCACAACGAAACCTGAAAAAAAAACATGTATCTGTTCTGTCATCATTCTCTTGTCTATAGAGAACAGCACAAAGAAACCTGAATAAAAACAAATATCTGTTCTGTCATCATTCTTGTCTTTAGAGAACAGCACAAAGAACCTGAATAAAACATGTATTTGTTCTGTAATCATTCTCTTGTCTATAGAGAACAGCACAAAGAAACCTGAATAAAAACATGTATCTGTTCTGTCATCATTCTCTTGTCTATAGAGAACAGCACAAAGAACCTGAATAAAAACATGTATCTGTTCTGTCATCATTCTTGTCTATTGAGAACAGCACAAAGAAACCTGAATAAAAACATGTATCTGTTCTGTCACCATTCTCTTGTCTATAGAGAACAGCACAAAGAAACCTGAATAAAAACATATATCTGTGCTGTCATCATTCTCTTGTCTATAGAGAACAGCACAAAGAAACCTGAATAAAAACATATATCTGTTCTGTCATCATTCTCTTGTCTATAGAGAACAGCACAAAGAAACCTGAATAAAAACATGTATCTGTTCTGTCATCATTCTTGTCTATAGAGAACAGCACAAAGAACCTGAATAAAAACATGTATCTGTTCTGTCACCATTCTCTTGTCTATAGAGAACAGCACAAAGAACCTGAATAAAAACATGTATCTGTTCTGTCATCATTCTCTTGTCTATAGAGAACAGCACAAATATCACCATAATTATATACATTGTACTTGTAATTGTTCACTCTTCTCTTTTGCCTTTAGTGGTTCTCTTATTCTCTATAATCTTTATCATTTAGCAAAAAAACTATAAAATCAATTCTATTATAGGCTTTATGTTTTTATGAAGGTGATAACACATTAATTGAATTGTTTATAAATACTTAGCCTTGAGTCTTGGGCAGTCTGTCTCCTGTGTTAATAAAAATCCTCTACAGACATTTTCTGCTAACAAAAAAATAATGACCATAAACTGTTATTGTTAGGTTTCTACATCCAAGGTTAAAGCTGTTATCCTAATGCTAGCAAGTTAAAGGTTTGGTATACATGCTACCTCAATCAATTTCATGTAGCGACGCAAGTCCAAACACGGTATTGGTCTTGTTATAATAACTATTTAACAACTAAATAGAATTGACCACTTTCAAGAAAAACATTATGCTAACCTAGACCTTGTTTGTGCAATGGTGAAAAAGCACAGTGATGCATATATAAGTTTGAGCATACAATGTACTCAAAAAAAAACATTCTATTTTTACAAAAGATTTTTTTGAATGAAAGAAGGGCATTAAAATGCAAGTTGAGTTTCTTCAATAAAATATCATTGATTGGTGATGATCTTTGTATAGAAGCTGACATTTAAATCAATTGAGCAGAAACAGAATATTGAATTTAAATTATTTTAATATTCTAAAATTTTAAACTAGTTAGTGATAATTGAAAATCTTTACTTAAGATTGATTTCATGTCCTCCTGATTAATATGCATGTAGACGTGCAATTTAAATCAGATTACTTCTATCTTTAGTTATGATTAATAAATTGTCAAATAAGTCAGTCATTTTGATTTGTCTCAACCTTTTGCCATTGAAGCTTTCCAAATCACAGATCGTTTTTGCATAGTTCATATTCTGGTATTTGATTTATGTGGAAATAACCATAGTGGATTTTTCTAATGATAAATAGTCTGTAAGGTATGTGGAACAGACTTATTCCCAATGATAAAAGCTTTATACATGCTAATAGCCTCACAATATCAATTGACTTTCAACTTCAAATGACCTTTTTTAATCAAGTATAAATAAAAAGACAAACATGGAACTAACCTATTGTACTATGTACAGTTTCCTTTAACACTTAATTTGCATCTTCACCAATTCAGGTTTTATATCACATCATCCAACTCAGGTTGAGAAATGTTACTTTCAGGTTCATGTGGACCCTTTGGCTAAAATGGCTGCATTTTCACCTCAAAATTTACTCCGAGTACAGACAAACCTGTGTATCTGGAAAAGTTTTAAAGCATAGCATGCCCTAGATAAATAAAATTCAAATATATTTTATGTTTTAGAAAATTGAAAACTTTACAGGATTTTGCAGTGCACTTTTTTTCAATCCTCCAGAAGATGCCAAAATAAACTAAGTTGTGAAAGAGGTTTGAGAACTTCCCCACTGGTAATAATTGAAGTGAACTGTATTAATTGACATGGACAATAGCTATATAGATACCTGACAATAATTGGTGATTTAAACTATGTACTTTAGTGGACCATATAAAGTGAAACTCAACTGTTGGTTAATTTTATCATCTTCTGCAGGGACAAAAAAAGTGCACTGCAAAATCCAGTTAAGTTTTAAATTTTCTAAAACATACGAGGTATTTGAATTTTATTTATCTAGGGCATGCTATGCCTTAAAACTTTTTCAGATGCACAGGTTTGTCTGTGCTCAGAGTAAATTTTGAGGTGAAACGCAGCCATTTTAGCCAAAGGGTCCACATGAACCTTAAAGCACAGTTATAAAAACACGGCTTGCTTGTAATGCTTCTAATAATTCTGATGGTCTGTTGCCAATTTTTCATTGTATAGCTCAGTCTGACAGTAAGATCTGTTCTCAGGGGGTGTCCATATGTCTCTGTGAGAGGTGAAAACAGCATTTGTGGCAAAAAGTTCAGGGAAAAATTGTAGTAAAGTGCCTGCCGTTTCTTTTATTACAGATATCTGGTACTAGAACATGTGTCTGGTGGAGAATTATTCGATTATCTGGTGAAGAAAGGTCGGCTCACACCAAAAGAGGCACGAAGGTTCTTCAGACAAATTATCTCAGCTTTAGACTTCTGTCACAGTCATAACATATGGTAAGGTTTGATGAAATCTATCATTTATTATTACTACAGACAAATTATTGATATAACCTTTTCTCTAATTCTTTGGCAATTTAACCCTTTCTGGACCCATTGTTTAAAAATATAATATCAATGTGTGGTTTTCGATGATCTCGGTAGATGATTTGCTCAGTTAAAAAATCACAACCTTCATTAGTTGTATAATAACCAATAGTTCCTTCAAGTTGGCATGTTTTTAATGAATATGTGGATTAAATTTTATAAACAACATATTAACACCAATTGATGCTCTATGTCTAGGTGTTCAGATATAATACAAAGAGTAGAAAGTAGATAAGTCTACTTAATGTTTTTAAAAAAAATGGTAAATTTTAAAGTGGTATGAGGTATGATTGTGGCAGTTTATGTTGAAAAAATTAAACTATGGTTCAAACATTTACAAAAACATAATATTGAGTAATGAGTCATTATTAAGAGTTAAGAGAAAAGAAAGGATATGGAGTATCCCTCAATGATAGAAAATCAGTACATGCACAAGAGGTCACTGTACAGTCTTTCACAGTGTCAGAGCAAAATCCATACTGTGTAGTAAGCTTTAAAAGGCCTCAACATTACATAATGTTAAAGTATTCAAACGAAGAAACCAACTTCCTGTCTTTTTATATTTATATTAAAAAAATGTATATTTAAAGGTCATTTCCGTAGTTCATTAGAGGGTGTCTAGTCCCAAAATACACATGAATGTTGATACTTTATAAAAGTTCCATGTTTTTTTTATTGGTTCCTATGAAACTTTTGACTTTCTAATATATGTTGAGCATGTTATGAATAAAATTTTAGATTGAGTAATTTGGTGGGCATGGATTTGGCAACTAACGAATGCAGCTTTAAATGCCTAAATTCCATGGAATACTTTGTAATACATTTTGTACTTGTTATTGCTCTCTTCTGTCAGTTCATTATTTATAGAATCAATCTTTAACTTCAACATTGGTAACAAGTGATTTAATTTGATTTTTGTAGTATTTAATTTGATTTTGCATAATATTAAATAGTTCAATGACAATTGGTTTTCTTTTGTGGTATTCAATTAATTCTGTCACTCTGGTCAGACCTATTACCCTTGTCATCATGGTCTAGCTAATAACCAACTATTGATCTCTAGTTTACAGTCAATAAAGGTTGCCAAACCCTTTTATTCTTTGAAAGAAAAAAGACAAATGTGTTCAATAAAAGATTGGCATTATTTGAATTGAGATAGATAACCATGTAGCAGGAAATCTAAAATGGTAAATGTCTGCTGGGTGCAATTTTTTAATGGTGAAATTATTAATATGTAAATAAGGAGATGTTGTATGATTGCCAATGAGGCAACTATCCACCAAAGTTCAAATGAAGTGGATGTAAGCAATTATAAGCCACCATATAGCCTTTAATAATGAGGAAAACCCATACCATATAGTCGGCTATAAAAGGCCCCTACATGAAAAACGAGAAAACTAACAGCCTAATTATTTGTAACAAAACAATTTACGAAAAACAAATATTACAAACATGAACCAACGACGACCACTGAACTACAGGCTCATTTTTGTTCATTATTATTTGAATCTATAAATTTTTTATGAAGTCATTTTATTATTGGTTAACTGTTCGTGTTTATTTATTAGAGAGAGTACAATTTCAAGATTATGTAGGAAAGGATAAGAGTTTTACATACACAAGGCAAATATCCCATGAAATAATATTAGATATAAAATTACTGTAATTGTCTTATTGCTGTTCTTAATCATTACAGTGTCTACCAAAAACTTTGACAGTCTACAGTCTTTTTAAGGTTCAAATGGCAACCAAAATAAAATCAATCCAGAGTAATTATTCAACTAAGTTAGAAGTTGTTTAGATAAGTTAGCTTGGTCGAAGAGAACATCGAGCGAGATGAGTAAAAGTTCTTAAATATTTATTTCAGATAATACTGGCTATCTGCCATTAGAATAAAAATGATTTTTTATTAAACATTTGTTTTATGTCTGATTCCAGTCACCGTGATCTCAAACCAGAGAATTTACTTCTGGATGACAAAAATAATATACGGGTAGCTGACTTTGGTATGGCATCATTACAAGTGGAAGGATCCATGTTAGAAACTAGCTGCGGGTAATATAATTAAGTAAATTTTAGTAATTTGTTATGGCTCAATCAGTTATATATCCCCAAAACAACAAACACATTTTTTGGCTCATATCTCTTTAACTAAAACAGTAAGAGCAAAACTGACATAGATAAAAATTATCAACTAGTCAAGTTCTATTTCCCATGAAATTTTCAGAAAAATTGGACAATTCATTTTAGAGTTATTGACCCTCAAATGTCAACTTTTAGAAAACTTCACAGCTTTTGGTTAATATCTTAGAGAAAAAAACTGCCTTGTTGCCTTTGAAGGGGATGATTTTTACCTTTTTTTGCTGAAACTATAGTAGAAAGAGAGAACCCTTACAAAGTAATTGCTTTAGAAAGATGATTATTAGCTACATTTGCAGAAACCCTAAAAGAGAGAAACTGTAAACAAAAATTGTTCAGCAAAATTAGATCTACAAATAAGTCAACACAACCGAAATCATCAATTGACCCCTTGTAGGAATTTTGCTCTTTAAAGATGGTGTTCACTCATTTTTTGCATATTTTTCAGAAACCATAATGGATAGGGAACTGTAAATAACAAAAATGTCCAGCACAATAAGACCTTCAAATAAGCCAAACATGAGCAAAATTGTCAACAAACTCCTTATAGGAGTTATTACCCCTGAGTGATAATTTTTACTAATTTTTACATTTTTGTCATAACTATAGTAGATAGACATGATAGAGAGAAACTAAAAATGATTATCAAAATAAGATCTTCAAGTAAGTCAACATGGCCAAATTGTCAGACTCCTTATAGGATTTATTGCATTTAAATGATGATTATTTTATAAATTACTATAATTTTGACAATTGTTTTGTAAGTTTAAAAAAATAGGTATAAACTGGAAACTGTAAAAATTATCACCAATACAGGATCCTCAAAAATGCTAATAAATAAGATATAACAAATAAGCAAACATAGCTGATTGCAATAAAGGAAAATATTAAAATGTAATCTTTTTACCAGGTGAGTGATTCAGGCTCTTGAGAGCCTCTTGTTTTATATCAATTTAATTAAACCTCTGCTCCTAAAGAGAATGTAAATACTTGTTTATCTCTTTCCGTATGTGCACACGTCCATAACATATCTGTTGCATTTTTTCAGCAACTACAAATCCGAGCTTTTTAATGTTCTGTAATATGAAAAAGGGAAAAAGTCTTATAATTATCATCAAATTTTCATTTATAAAAAAAATAATACTTAGATTTTTCTTTAAGATAATTTTATGTATTTATAGAAAGACCTAAAGCTAAAAGATGATAAAGAGTTATTGTAGATTTACTGAACTCATTTTTAATGTACCAAAAAATTAATTATTTTATAATAGTGAAAAACTCTTTCAAATTGCATAGCATTACAGTTTAACAACATTATTTCTGTTTTGAAGTCTTTTGGTATTCTATCACCAAAACTTTGAAGGTTTTGTACAACAAAGACCAATTTAGTGACTTTCAATCATTTCATACGATTTACACTAAAATCTATCAAATAATAACATTTTTAATGAAAAAAACATCAATTTAAGTGCAGGGATGCAAAATCTGTGACTTTGTGTATTTTCAATTCCTTGACCTGTCAGAATGCATGTGAAAATTTTTTAAAGTCACATTTTTAATTTAATCTATGAGTTTGGATTGAGATTGATTATGAAACATGGGATAATGATTCCAAAAAGCAGTGACCTATGGCTTTTTTTTTCTTAAATGATATATTGTAATGCTTTAACTGGAAAATATTGAGTTTCATAATTAATCTGATCTAATTATAACACAGGTCGCCTCATTATGCCTGTCCAGAGGTCATAAGGGTAAGATTGACCAATCAGAAGCATGGTTTTTTGATGTCGTGAATGATGTATTTGTGTCTTCTTTGAACATTAATTATACCATGTCATCTTTTGTTGGCTAAATATTTTCACACACATCATTTTTACTCTGCATTTTTATAGATTTTGTGTTTTGAATTGCATCATGTTTCTTGTGGTTTTTATTTTATTTTGCTTCGCCTATTGAAGCTAAAATTTATTGATCATATTGTGAAGGTCCATTATTAATGAAGTTCAAAACTTTAAAACAATGCTTAAAATACATGTTTATTTGATGCCTATTTGCAATGTTGATGTAATTAAAAATCTTTAAAACAGAAATGAAAAGCATGCTGCTCCTGTTAAATAAACCATGTGTGTATAGTTTTAGAAAGTATGTAGTCCTGAATTTATTCAGTTTTTAGTTTATTTCAAAAAGATTGAAGTGGACTAGTAGAGTACTCTGGGGTCCATGTTTGTGGCCGTTTCCATAGCCAGTTCTCAGATAATAGTCTATATATAGCCGTATAGTTTTTATGTTACAAGATTGAAATGTACTACTAGTAGAGTATTATGTTGTCCATGTCTGTGGGCCCTTTCACAGCCACTTCTCAGAAAAATAAACAATAAACCTGCCTTGTAGGAATAAACACCTTTAGTTGTATATGTAGTGTTTTTATCAAAAAGAAAGGGAAATTATGGGTTTATCTGAGTGTCTTACACTATGGACAGGTCTTGTAGGCATAAACACCTTAAGTTGTAAAATTATTGTTCTTGGTAAATTTTATAGAATGCTGGGTATATTTGTTAGTGTTGCCCAAAACTTGACTGAAATTGGAAATTTGTCAAGTCGTTTCAAATCTGTTATTAAAATATGCATGATGATAATTACTGTTGATATGCAGTCACAAATTTTGCATTGATGAAAACATTGTATTTCCAAATCTATTGTTCTGTAGTATAAAACAAGTGATTTAACAGAATAAATCCATACATTGCACAGTAACATGATGTATCCATAAGTAATTTTTACTTCTCTATATCAATGTTTAAGTGAATGTAATTGGAAAAAACGAAACAAAACCACTAAACACAACATTATAACATAAGACAGTCTTGTATAGCATAATGAATAGAAATCATCCATAAAGTATTTGAGGAAATTGTGATGAGGAAGCAATCATTATTGTCAATCTGTTATCTACTAAAATCAATAGAAAATTGTTTATGTGATATATGGCATTTACGATACACAATTATACAGTTGTTTTCTGCCATGTCTAGTTATGTGTTAGTATTCTCACACTTTAAGCTAATGAATGCTAGATATTGTTGGTTAGCTGGACAATGAGACTTTTAAGAAGCATTTAATAGGGAAAGCCTCTTGGAGTTGCAGATGTAATATGTGCCGAGGCTGGGGACATTTGAATGATGTTCTTTTATTGTGTTCTATTTTTAGATTTGAATGTTGTCTGTAGTTTTAGTTTGTGCACATGGATATTTAATTTTTGTAGAAGAATATTTTAGTTTTCTTGTGAGTGTACACTGCATGTATTTCAGAATGATTTTAGAAGGCTTATTTGTGTGGCTTATATTGTCATAAGTTAATCATCATAGGTGCAGCAACATAAGTTGAAGAGCTATCATATAATTTTTCAAGTGCGGGAGGTTCTGGATCAAAACAAAGACTTGAAAATTGGTATTTGCTGCTTCTCCACTAAGCACTTGGCATTAGGGAGTAAGAGCAAAGACTGGTCGGCTTGGAGTCAGAATAATGTGATCAGATAGGGTGACATATCTTCCTGCAGACTATTATATTGTGAACTAGCAAATTAGAAATTCTCTCAGCATGTTGGTCTAGAAGAAAGCAGGCTTAATATTCATATAACATGAACATGTTCTCGTCCTGAAGATGCATTTAATTTACTACTGGATGTTAAGCAGCTATCCATCATCATCATTATCAAATAATTTTAATTTTTTTTTGGGGGGGGGGGGGGGGAGGTGGCTAGTACATGACCTTCTGAGAAGCAAATGGTTAGTTGACTATTTCCTTGTGTTAGAAGTAAGCCATATTGTTTTTTATACCCCACCATAAAATATTATCATTCCATCCTTCTGAAATCAAACAGTTGTCCTATCAAGTTTAAGTGACTATTGAATTCTAATGGTATGTTGTTCTATAGAGATGTTCTGAAATTTTGTGAAAAATTAATACTGAAAATCTTAGATAAGAAAAAAAAAACTTTTTTGAGTTGACTGTTAATGTACTGTATATATTGTATAGATAATTTGTGACAGCTAAATATATAGATATAAGAAGATGTGGTATGAGAGCCAATGAGACAACTCTCCATCCAAGTCAAAATTTATAAAAGTAAACCATTATAGGTCAAAGTATGGTCTTCAACACAGAGCTTTGGTTCACACCGAACAGCAAGCTATAAAGGGCCCCAAAAAATTGCTAGTGTAAAACCATTCAAACAGGAAAACCAACAGTTTAATCTATACCTGTATGTTGAGTGTATGGTGTCATTTTCTTAAAGAGACAAATATTTATTATTTCTAGAATAGAAAAAAATCAGCAAATAACTCAAAAGATGCAATCAAAATAATTGAATATGAGATGGATGCTCCTTGTGAAAAAATTCAATGAATTTCTATTTTTTTTAACCATATTTGAAAGGAAAAGAACATTTATTATCTGATTTGTGAAGTGTTGAACTAAACTAAACTGTTAAATGCAGCATCAGCATTTCTGTTTCTAGACAATAATTGTGGAGTCATCAATCAGAATTTATTTAAACTTGGATAGAAAATATCTCTGGGAAAACTAATGATCCCTGTTGATTTCTCAAGGTCAAGGGTAGCTATAAAAAAAAACTGAAAATTTAGGAAATATGGATTTTGAATAATACATGTTGAACCATATACAATGTATATCCAATCTTGAAAGGAAACTTAGAATGATAATGCACCTTGGAGAGATGTCACTAATTCCAAAGCTAATATCAAAGGGTTAATATTTAGATTTGTAGATTGAATATGGGGAAAACTTGGACCCTATCTTTTTACAATTCTGTAAACTTTTCATTGAACTATAGGGTTAAATTTTTTATGCACATTGCCTTTTAAGGATATGTTTTATGTTTTCCTGTGCAGAGCATATAAGCTAATGTGTTATGTAAGGTTTGACCTTCCAATGACTTTGATGTTGGACTTTCTGAAAGCTATTAATTTTTTGGTTATATAACTATTCTGTCCTGAAGTCATTTTTGTACTTAATAAACATTTCATTGTAAAAATTGTAAGAAAATTAATAGCATTGGAAGAAAATTTTTGATTGTTTCAGTGTATTTACTTATTCTAATTACAGGGAGAAAAGTATGATGGTAGAAGGGCAGATGTTTGTTTGTTTCAGTGTATTTACTTATTCTAATTACAGGGAGAAAAGTATGATGGTAGAAGGGCAGATGTTTGGAGCTGTGGTGTTATACTTTATGCATTATTAGTTGTAAGTGTTATCACCAAGTTAATACATACAGCTGGAGCACTTCAATCCCTTTGTGGTAGGGGTGAGCAGCTAAGACAAACGGTACCAAGGATACGGAAATGATCATATTTGCCAGACCTGACCTAATCTGATACTGACCAAAATGGTTGATTGGGATTTAGGTCACAAATTTTTTTTACATAAAATTTTTGTCATTTCATTGACATCAGTTTTTTTTTCTAACGCGTTATGCACAAATTTTTGTTTTGCAATAATTTTTCAGTAATGAAACTGCCAGAAGGGCCCTCCTAATTACCATATATTAATGCCTCCGGGAGATACTGGCTAATGAATGCTTATCACTTTTTACCTGTGTTCTTCACACCTGACAGAAGTGATCAAGCTAAATTTACATGGAAAAAAAGTAATTTTTTCAAGAGTCAAACATGTGCTTCATGTACTATGTAATATGTCTTCACCAGATTAGACACTTAATTGTAAAATGCAAAATAATTTCATGCCAAATGAAACATGTGAAACTATTATCAGTTATATTCAAACACTTAGCAGTAATAAAATTAATTGAATATGATAATTTCCTGCTATTTGATAAACAGAACAAGCTTCGTAGATAAACCTGGAATCACTTAAAATTTCAAATTCACTTGAATCTTCTTTATTTTAAATTTCATTTCTCTAATTCGAAAGTAGCATTGTTGATTCCTGAGTAATTTGCAGTCTAAAGTCATTAAAATCATTTCAATTTTAAACTGTTGCTTTTCATAAGGGCTGTCCAAAAATTTATCAGGTGGGGGGATGAGAGGCACTCAATAGTTGATTATGGATGGTTGCATTTTCCTTATAATTTGGTACGAATTTTAAGTTGTGGATTAAAAAAGTGCCTCCCATCTTTCCCATGCATTTATTTCTGGAACAGCCCTTAATTGTTTTTTTTTTAAAAAAGAAGAAATTTTATGAAGTGAATGTGGTGAAACCGTCAATGCAACTTTGTTGATGCTGTGAATCTAGTATGAATTTGACAATTTGAAAAAAGGACCCCCAACTTTCAAGTCATCTCAAAATGGCTGAAATTATGTGACAGAATTTCTGGATCTTTTTCCATTAACCCAACCTTTTCATATATTTTGAATATGTAAAAATGCAAACACTTTCATATATGTTTTAGCAAAAAAAAGACCTAAAGCTATATTTTGCTATTTTTTGTTGAGCCTGTGACTTTTGTTGCAGAAAGCTCGACATAGGGAAAGTGACCCAGCGGCGGCATTAACTAACTACTTAAAAGCTTAATATTTCAGAGGGTAGAAAACCTGTATGCTTCATACTTTGTATATAGATGCCTTATGTTATGAAGTTTCAGTCTGTCATATGTCCTTTGTCTTTGACCTTATTGTCATGATTCAGTGACTACTTGAAAAAAAAGTTAAGGTTTTTATGCCTCCGCTGTAGCGGAGGGGGCATTAAGTTTTACCCTTGTCCATCTGTACATCCGTCCGTACGTCCCAAAATTGGTTTCCATTCTCTAACTTTAGTTTGTCTCAACAAAATATTATGAAACTTATCCACAATGCTTATTACCACAAAACACAGATCCAGTTTGAATTTTGGTGGCATCACTTTTACAGTTCGAGAGTATGCCTCTTTCCAAATGGAAAAATTACTGAATTTTTCATTTCTGTTCTCTTAACTTTAGTTTGACTCGACCAAATGTTATGAAACTTATCCATAATGTTTATTACCACAAAACACAGATCAAGTTTGAATTTTGGTGGCGTCACTTTTACCGTTCTAGAGTTATGCCCCTTTACAAATGAAAAATTGCTGATTTTTTTGTTTCTGTTCTCTAACTTGAGTTTGCCTCAACCAAATGTTATGAAACTTATGCACAATGCTAATTACCACAAAACACAGATAAAGATTGAATTTTGGTGGCATCACTTCTACTGTTCTAGAGTTATGCCCTTTAAAAATGGAAAAATAGATGAATTTTTTTGTTTCCATTGTCTAACTTGAGTTTGCCTCAACTAAATGTTATGAAACTTTTAAACAATGCTTATTACCACAAAACTCAGATCAAGTACAAATTTGGGTAGTGTCACTATTGCAGTTCTTGAGTTATGTCCCTTTATAACGTTATATGAAATCTGGGGCACATTCCTCATTTATTTTGTAATGTTGATTTCTCTCTTATTATGAGTATACAACTATATTTGGTATGTGCATACCTTACACAGTCCTCATACCTGTCAGACAGTTTTCACTTGACCTCGACCTCATTTCATGGATCAGTGAACAAGGTTAAGTTTTCGTGGTCAAGTCCATATCTACTATATTTGGTGTATGGAATGATTGTAAGGTGGTCATGTCCAGCTGGCAGGTGTCATCTGACCTTGACCTCATTTTCATGGTTCATTGGTTAAAGTTAAGTTTTTGTGTTTTGGTCTATTTTTTGTCTCGCCCTGACAGAGTCAAAAAGCGAGACATAGGTTTGCTGTTTCCGGCGGAGGCGACGTCGGTGGCAAGGTCAAAAATGTATTAGTTTGTGATTAGGTCTAGTTCATGGTGAACCACTAGTGGTAGGTCAATGATATTTGATATGCAGTTGTATTAGCATTGGCATATCTCATTACCATGGAGATTATTTGGCCCTGCCCCCAAGGTCTATTGACTTTGAAACTTTGCTTAGTTTACATGAGTTAACTATAAGCAATAGGTCAACTATGTTTGGTGTACATGGAATGATTGTATTGTTTATATGTCTGTCTGGCAGGTATCATCTGACCTTGACCTCATTTTCATGGTTCATTGGTCAATGATTAGTTTTGGTGGTTAAGTTTGTTTCTTAGATACTATATTTGATACATCAACTACATTTGATCCATGGAATGATTGCAAAGTGTACATGTCTGTCTGACACGGTTCATCTCACTTGACCTAATATTCATGGTTCATTGGTCAATATAAAGTTTTCATGGTTTGGTCTGTTTCTTGTATACTATAAGCAATAGGTCAACTATATTCAATGTATGGAATGATTGTAAGGTGTACATGTATTTCTGGCTTGGTTTATCTGACCATGGCCTCATTTTCTTGGATCATGATATTAAAGTTAATGTGATACTTGTAGTAAAACTTTATATTTAGAGCTAATAACATAAAATCAATGGTGTTAAAGCAGGCGAGACATTTCAGCATGTGCACTCGTGTTTTATGTTAAAATAGGTCTGACAAATATCTGCTGCATTTACGACTGTTTTTCATCACATCTTTAATAAATACCAACATCAGATTCGGTGGTGTCAGATACTTATGATATAATCAACGACCTTATCATGTATTTAATCTAAATTTCCCGCCTTTATTATATATCATTAAGCTTAAAATAGTGACCTATTCATGCAGCTTATCCCTACCTCTCGCTACATAGTAAGTGGTCTCCCGAGGTCTCAGTGCAGCATCTGTTTCAAATATCAATTGGCTGTTTCTATATGTCATTTTGATATTTTTCTTCATTAGTTCAAAAATGTTAGAAATATGAATATGATTATGATATGCCAAAAAAAAAAAAAAAATACAGGAATTATAAATAAAATATTAGACTACACAGCAAACTGGATCAATAAATTTGTTTAGGGGAAAAGACAGATTTTTCATACAAATGGTTAAACAGATTTTTAAAATGTAGTCATGATGTGAGAAGTTCAACTTCTGGTTTAAGATTTCACATGGTTGATCAAATTTTAATGGAAAAATGCACTAAATACTTAGAAAATTTTAAAGAAGTAACAGTTTTCCACCATTTTTTTTTTTTGGTCAGGCCTGTGACAAAAAGTTGCAGACTGTGAGACCTTAACTTTTTGTATAAAGCCTTATATTTCATAAGAGAGAAGACCTGGATGTGTCATACCTTGTATACATATGACTAATGTTAAGAAGTTTCCATCTGTCATATGTCCATTGTTCTTGCAAATGCTTAAAAAAATTGTTTTTGGTTTTTTGGAAATGTGAATTTCTCACTTATTATGAGTGAAAGGATAACTATGTTTGATATATGGGATTCTTGCAAGGTCTACATGTCCTTCTGACAAGGTTCATCTTTCTGTGATCTCATTTTCAGGATTCATTTGTCAATGTGAAGTTTTTGTGGTTAGGTCTGTTTTTCAGATACTATTAAGCAATAGGTCAATAATAATTAGTGTATGGAATGATTGTAATACCTACATAATCGTTTGGCAGGGTTAATCAGTCTTTGATCACATTCATATTGATTATTGATAATGTTAAAGTTTATATGGTACTTGTATTTAACATTTATCTTTAAGACTTTCAATATAAAAGGGTGAGCTGTCAGATCCTTGTAAGCAAAGTATGGACACAGGATCTGTATTCTAAACAAAATTATGTCCCTTGCACTTATTCTTGTGCATTACTGTCAGAATTCTTGTTTACAGTTAATGTTTATTAGATAATGTAAATTACTTTTTAGAAATGAATTCAAAATCAGATTATGATACTTAGTATTTTTAAACCTTTAAGAATTTATTTTTTTATTTTGCAGGGAGCACTTCCTTTTGATGATGACAATCTTAGGCAGCTTTTAGAAAAAGTGAAAAAAGGCGTATTTCACATTCCACATTTTGTTCCGCCTGACTGCCAGAATTTACTACGAGGGATGATAGAAGTAGATCCAGAGAAACGATTAACAGTATGTATTATATTTCATTTACAGTTACTTGGAAAAGCAGGGGCCCTCAGCTAATTGATACATAGGTTGAAGTTGGTGGCCAATGAAATTACGGAATGGCCCATCATTTATAAAGTCGAATTCAGAATTCTTTCATTGAAATGAAATATACCTTAATATCCTTCTTTTCCTCCATTATGACTTGAACAGAAATATGTTATAAGATAAATAAATTTTCCTTAAAATATGACATAGAAAGACCTCCCCATTGGTGATAAAAAAAGCTGACACCTATGCTTACATTTCTATTTAGGGTTATGATATTGGAATGCATTTTGAAATGAGAAAACACATGTTATCAATTAGGATTTATTAGGTGGAATGAAAAAAGTCATGAAAATTTAATGATAATTTTTGTGCACATTATTTTTGTCCTTCTGCATGAAAATTTACAAATTTTCTTTTTCTTCAGCTAGAAGATATTCATCGACATCCATGGGTGATAGCGTAAGTATCTTAGAAAATATGAATATACCATTGCAATCATCATGGTTGTAGTTATGTCACAAAAACTCATTAAAAGATAAATATTCCAATTGATATTTTGGACTGTCAAATTTTTGGTAATAATACAGTAGGCTTCAATTCATTATATTTTGATTTTATCATTTCATACTGAATAAATATTTAGTTAGTAAGCACATAAGTAAACTAAACTTTGCTTAAAATAAATTCAACTATTCCATAAACATATACAAAATTGTTTCACAATAACACTACATAGATATTTCTTAAGATTCCGTTTTTTGAATTGACAGACAACAATAACAAGGGAATCCAAAATTATGTTTTATTTCCAAATGAAATGCAACATCTATGACTGCATGTGCTTTTCATGACAAGGCTACAATAATGTTTAAAAAAACAAATGGAAAGGTTTATTTAACTCATAATTTCATGGATATAGCATCAAAATATAATTATGAGAATTGAATGCTTCCTTTTTGTAATTTTATTGGTTTGTATACGCATTGATTTTGCACACATTCTTAGCAGAAAGAGCTTCTGTGTTTCATTCAAAATGTGTTTAAGCCAACACTTTTACATCCAATGAAATTGCGAAAAGAATCAATTCAAATCTTATTTAAAAAAGTTTTACTGAATATAAGAATTAATATATTACCTCTCCCTCAAAAAAAAAGTAACTCTGAAATATAACTTTAAAACTCTGACTTAGTCAGCTGTTTCAAATTTAGTTAAAGTTAGATCTTCATTTTAAAAGTAAAAAAAATACATATTTTAATATTCCGTTGTCCATTAGAGCATGATTTTCATTAAGTAATATTTACTTCGGCCTATTCTGTGAAATTTTGATATGGTATGTTTCATAAACCAGTATTGCAGCATATGTTTCCATAAGTTAAAGAAATATTGTGTTTTTTATGATTTGAGGATAGCAGAATGTGGAAAAAAAGCATCAAATTTCTTTAAAGATATCCTTAATTAAATTTTAGGACTATTGTGATTTCTTCTATAAATACCAAATTTTAGATTTTATACACTAAGAAATTTGCATGTATATAAAAATAAATAATAAGATATGACTTTTTGATTTGTCAGTTGACCAATTGGAGATTGGAGCATGGACATCTATCTCCTACTTAAATGGCCATTTATGGGAGAAATAAATGACTTCAATTAAATCTATCTAACTAGAATTTGATTGTGACAAAGATTATGTTTGGTCTAGAATATTTACGTTTTATTAATGAATATTCAATATAAATGTTTTTATACTTGATCTTCTTTTGAAAGGTGCTGTGTGTTAAGTTTTGTTTTAGATAGGGTTTGGTTTGCTTTACAAGAAATGATATTATTTTAGGGGATCAAAACTAGACTTTGAGATGGAACTCCCTGTTATACGTGCAGTACAGGTATACACGATCTACAAGGGGATGATGTTTGCATGCCTTTTTATTGAAATACAGAAGAATTGATATATTCACTAGTAACTAAATACAGATACTTTTTTCGTCCAAACATAGAATGAGAAGATAGAATTTTCCCTGGATTTTTTACTTGACAAATCTTTTTTTTTGTTGATTTTATTTGAATCCTATGACATTTTGTCTCTTAAGGCCCTCTATAGAAGTGAATATAACTTGATTGTTTCATAGATTACCATAGAGTATTGATATTTGATAATCATTTGGTGATCTGTAGATTTTCATTGTTAAATTTTCGATTTTTGCTGGATAATTGATACCACAAACTTTAAATTTTTGCTGGATAATTGATACCACATCTCCTTACATTTATTTATATAGCATATTTCATGAATATTCAATGAATATTATGTAACATTTACTGAATTTATATCCCCAAATGTCGCAAAGAAATTTCATTTAAAATTTTTGTCAATTAATTGATTGATTGATGGTTGCTTCATGCCCAAAGGCAAATATAACACTTAACCTGCAGATTTTTTAGATGTTAGCTCACAAGAAAACAGTCTGGAGACAGTTATGTTCCCTTCTCTCCACATTATTCTAACTATTAGCTAAACAGTCTTTGCTTATACTCCAATTTTTTTGTGCCTGGTAGAGGAGCGGAAATATTTAAAAATTTTAGTTAGGTAACTGTATTCCAATAAGAAGGTACACTAACAGACTTTTCATGATTAACAGCATGTGCATGCGTATTAACAGGGTTGAAAATTAATGGTTATTTTTATGGTTTTTCTTTGCATTGCAATGTTGTTAATGATAGGATTGTAGTTTAATGAAAAAATACCATGCAACAGTCTACAAATGGAAAAAGGGAATTGGAGGGCTGATATAAAATACTATCTAAAAAATAAATACACTTCATTCATATCAAGAAATAATTTTGTTTGTTCTTGAAGTTTATAAAGGCAGTGAAAATACAGTGCAGTTTAAGGTGAAATAGTCACTGAAATATTTATACCCAATCATTTTAGTCATGATGTTCATTTATAGTTTAAAATAAAATGCCTGTTAGTACTTGTTGCATGGTAATAGTAACTATGAATGATAATTAAACTTTTGAATGGTTATCATGTTGCATATTTGATGTTTTGTAGGGATTCTCAAGGTCATATTGAATTAGAACAACCAGTGGCACAGATTGTGCAGGTATACATAGTACTAATCTTTCTGCTATTGTTGAAAGTTACTTTCAATTCTATGGCTTATAAAAGTCTAGAAAAATTTATATAAAAATAATAAGATGTGGTATAATTGCCAATGAGACAACTCTCCACAAGAGACCAAATGACATAGAAGTTAACAACTATAGGTCACCGTACGGCTTTCAACAATGAGCAAAACCCATACCACATAGTCAGCTAAAAAAGGCCCTGAAATGACATGTAAAACAATTCAAACGAGAAAACTAATGGCCTGATTTATGTAAAAAAAACAATGAACAAAATACAAATATAATATACAGCAACAAACGACAACCACTGAATTACAGGCTCCTTACTTGAGACAGACACCTACAGAATGTGGTGGGGTTAAACATGTTAGCGGGCGCCCAACTCTCCCCCTAACCTGGGACAGCGGTGTAACAGTACAAAATATGAACAAACTATAAAAATCAGTTGATAAGGGCTTAGCCTATTTCAAATTGGTTTTTCGGTAGGAGGGATCAGTTTAGGGGTTTAAAAGTATCATATAAAAAAAAAACTCCCCTTCTTTTTCTACCACATGTATCACACAGGCACAAGCAGGTCTAGTTACAACTCAACTATGTCCGTCTTTCTGTCTGGCCGAAAGAAATCTTTCGTTAAAGTTTTCTTTGCTTCTATGAAAGAGAATGATTTAATATTTGGTCTGCAGCTTTATGTTGAGTTGTAGCTAGTAAGCAATCTTTACATCTGGGATGCATCCACTTCCTGTTTGCCAATAGTTTGAAAATTTACAACACTCGTTGTACCAGGAAAATTTTTGTCAAAGTTTCTTAGTTCCTACTTAAGGGAAATATTTAATATTTTGTCTGCAGCTTGATAATGTTGAGTTGTAGTGAGTAAGCACTTTTCTGCCATGTATCCACTTCCTGTTTGTAAATAGTTTGAAATTTTACAACACTCATTGTACAAGGTTTGTGAAGGTTTTCTTGGCTTCAGTGAGCTCCAGTATACATGTTACCTCAAGCAATTGCATGCAGCAATGCAGGTTCAGAACCGGTATTGGTCTTGTTTAGTTATGAGTTATTGAATAGTAATTATAGTCTAGTTGCATTTTGATGTTGAGTTTAGGGCATGATTGTCAAGTTACATTTATTGATGTGACGGATTTTAAAAAGTACATCACAAAATTTTAAAATTTTTATAACACCATGGACATGAACTTCTATGATGAATTATTTGAAGAAAAAAATTTGAAAAACAGTAAAAATTACTTTTTTTTTTAATATAGCTAAGTTCTGTTTACGTTAACAGTTTACTTTTTTTCTTTTGTTTAATCAGACCACTTTGTAAAATTTGACATTTTAAAATTTTTGTAAATCTCCCAATATCCTACAGTTTACATGGAAAGGAACCACATATCACAGAACTACTTCATACCATGTGCATTTGTGTATCTTCTATTTTATTTTTTCATAAGGTTAATTTTGAAGTTTCCTCCAGTAAAACATGGAATTTACAATTTTTGCTGTTGGGATAAAGGAGTAGGCCCAGTAAGACCCCTTTTTGGCCCCAAAATATAGCAGTTTTACAAAATTGTTAAAATGTAAATTTTTAGCTATTCATTGGAAAGAAGAATTCTTCTGTTACATAAATATGGGCTGTTTTTGACAATACAATGCACAGGTATCGGGTACTAGCATCATTAAGTCATGTTAAATTACTGAAATCTTTCGAAATTTTAGCATTTTGGTTAATTTTTAGACGGTTTCCGTCTGAAATGGAAGCGGCCGCATTTGTGTTCATTCTTAATATTTAATTGTATGTTGTATTTGATGATAATACATAACATATATAAAGGTTGAGAATGAACACGGACATATTATGGCATATTTGATAGATTTTTCATATTTAAGCTTGAATTTGAGCGTCTTTAATGACTAAATCAGTTCAAATCTTTCACTTAAACTAATTGAATCGACTGAAGTAGACACTTAAGTGTTTAAAAAGTGTCCAAAATCTTTCATCAGATGAACCTGAATTTTGAGGCCAAAATCTGCCCTTACCGGACCTACTCCTTTGCTATTCAAAATCTACTAGTTTGCATTGACTTGATTGAAATGTTCTTGTTGAAGTAATGATCTTATTTTATCATTTATTAAGATGAAATCAGATCATTATTTTTCTCATTTGCTTTTCATTGTAAGGTAGACACAAAAAAGCAGTTGAGAGACATCATATTTTTGTGTCAACAACAATTTTATAATTTCAGACTTCTATCATACCAGATATACAAGATTTAGACCCTGATGTTTTATCAACTATGAGTTCTTTACAGTGCTTTAAAGATAAAGACAAATTAATACAGGAATTACTTAATTCCAAGTAAGTTCATTGAACCATATAAATACATAATTAGCATTCTTGTAGAACGAACGTGTGTAAATAAAAAATGTGTTCAAATAGCATCCCCATCATTAAATGGGTGGTATAAGGCATAGCATACTGGCTTTGGCTTGTGACCTTCTGAGGCAACACAATTGGACAATAAAAACAAATTTAAAAGGTATAAATCATTTTTCCTAATACAGTTATTAAACCCATGCTTTAAGGATAACATGAGAAAGAAAAAAAACCAACATAGATCTAAGCAAGTATCAAAAATGAAAAGTAGTTTTTGTGTTAACTAGATAAAATTATGTATGGTTTTAAGTAATTAAACAATGCCAAACAGTTATTTGAACAGAAAAACAATTCCATTAAATTAAAATGTAACTATAAATCTATACTTTGCTGAAATTAGATAAAATTGATATATTAGAAGTTCATTAACACAAAGAATACATATATAGTGTTAAAAGCTTTCAATTCTGATTTTTTTTGTCATTTGATATTACAGTTTATTGATATTATAAAAGGATATTTTTTAAATAACCTTGTTTACATGTGGTATATTACATTTACAGACACAATACAGAAAAAGTAGTCTATTTTCTCCTCCTAGACAGAAAACTCAGGAATCCCAGCATTGAAGATGAAATTGATATCAAAACCAGATCTGAATCAGGTTTGTCATACATAAAAGAATGAGGTTTTGTAGTATGATAATGACCTTCATTTTCTGGCATCATGCACCAAATGTTGTGAATCAAGACGTGCAACTTTTACATCTAAGGCATCATGGCTACCATCATTATTACCTTATGTTAAGGTTCTCATTAGGCCCATTTCAAAATAAGTACTTGCAATGGCCCTATGATATTTGAGATACAGTTTCATTAACATCCATTTATCTTGAAGTGTGCAGTGAATGATGCAGCTTTCTGTGTAGTGTTTTGTGGACTTTTGTTTGTATCTTCTGTTTGACTATGGTGTTGTCTCTTAGTCTTTGATTATGGTTTTTGACTATGGTGTTGTCTCTTTTACTTTGATTATGGTTTTTGACTATCCCATTTGTATCTTGCCCCCTCTTTTTAAGTTTTCTGATTTTTGCTTTTTATAAATAAGTACTTAAACTGGACTTTAAATATTTTGCATGGTGTCCCAATAATCTTCCTACATTTCATGTCATGTCATGAAGAACTTGAAGTTTGCATTCTTAGTACAACTTCAATGAATTTGTAACCCTACCAAGCAGGGCTGTAATATTACAGCCTTTGCCACAAATCTGCCTTCTTGGCTGCAAAGGCTTTCCATAATTTCATGGGTTATCTGTTAGATATTGATTTTGAAATTCTGGTATTTCCTTCAATCTAAGACAATTTATTGTAAAATTCTCTAGATTTAAGATGCAGTGTGAACCCAAATTTTAGCTTTGATAATTGAAATAGCAAAAAAAAAGAAACACATTTTTGGAATGGTGGGCTTCTATTCTCTGTCTGGTCTAAGCAGTACAGAGGTCTGGAACTTCTGGAAACAACCTGAAATCAGGAGAATATAACTACCTAACATTTAAATAATTTAAGTACTCCTTAAAGTTTATGGACAACAACTACTTCCTGTTGCAGGTTCTGTAACTGCCAAATATTGGAAAAAGTCACAGAAGTGGGGATTATAATTGAATTGTTCCTCTGTAGACTGCCATACGCAGAATAGGTTTCATCAGAGCTTTGTGGTCATGTGTTCAATAAAACCCACTGTCTATGCAAACTATCCCTATCATCATCACTGGGTTGTCTAGTATATAGAAATAGGACAAAAAATTGATGTTTTTGCACATACATGTATTACCAACTTTGCGGAATCATGCCATACTGTGTGATGGGATTAAACAATTATAGCTCATCAACTTAGGTCTCACTGTATATACTGCAAAATCTATATTTGTCATCTTACTTGATTATCTCAGTCCAAAAAAACTATGTGATTTGAAAATAGTTAAACTGTATAGGGTCTCACTGTATGTACTGTAAAATCTTTAATTGACATTTTTCTCTGTTTCAGCTGATCCTCCAAGAAAAAGAATTGATGCTGTTCAGTTAAATGGGCAAAATGGTCAACCACGGTAAGCTTTGTATGCCAGTAAATGACTTTATAGTAAGATTTAAAGTGTATGTCATACAAGCTAGATTGAAAATGTATTCAGAAACCATCATTTTGATTTAGCTTTTGAGAAAGTAACAGATCTAGAAAAAAACACTTATTGTTAAGTTGATATAAAAGCATCAATTTTCACAACTTCTTTGAAAACTATGATAATGATGGGAAAAAAATCCGGTGAAATGAGTCTATCTTAACAACCCACATTACTGTCAATAGAATAACAAAGAAATATTTATACTTTGTATTTGGTTGGTGAAATTACTTTTCACTGCTCATGATCTTTTATGCTCCTTCTTTTCTCTCAACTGCTTCTAAATAAATGATACAGGCTCTTTGAATTTTCCAATAATTTATGCATGAGGTTTCTAACACTAATATTGTACTAATGTTAAAACTTAAGTAATACAGACAAAAAGATATTGTACCATTGATTTATCAGATATTATTTTGTATGAAACAATAATTTTCTGATTACCAATCTGTTATCTGTGTGAAAACTGCAAGTTAAACGGAGTAGATTTGCAAGAAAAATTATCTCTGAAGGAGAAATCAATTATTTGTGCAAGAAAAATTATCTCTGATGGAGAAATCAATTATTAGTGTATTTTTTTCTTTTTTGGTCCATCAGACAATAAATACATTTAATTCCCTAACTAACACATCTATGTGTCCCCACAAATGTGTTGAATACATTGTTTTTGTTCTGATCCATCTGTCTGTCAGATGGAAGTTTTTCTTCCACATTTGGTATAGGAATGGAATAAAACTTAAGCTAATACTTCATACCATGATAAGGTGTACAACTTCATATTCTTTAGTCAGATTGATTGTTGGGGTTTCCTGTAGCAAAACATTGACATTACCATTACAACATAAAATGACAAACATTAAAAGTGATGTATAGTCTGTATTTATGTTTAATCCACACGCCCTTTTTCACAATGGGAATTCATGGACAAAATTTTTGTCTAGTCGAAAGGGCCAGTGAAACTCAGATAAGTTTAAAGTTTTTTGTGGTTGTTTGCATGTATTCCATGAAAATGTGCAAACAACCACAAGTTCTAAACAATGCAAAACTTCAAGTTCTTCATGATATGAAATGTAGGAAGAATATTGGGACACCATGCAAAATATTTAAAGTTTAGTTTAAGTACCTATTTCATGGAAAACATGCAAATCCCTCATCAAATTATAACAGAATCACTTCATACCATGTGTAGTTGTGCACTTCCTATCCTATTTCCTAATTTTGATAGGATGAATTTTTGGGGTGTCCGATAAAAAAGTCATTTCTGCACATAGGAAGGTTTTGCAATGCAATATATCCTGCAAATGTTTACAATAAAAAAAAAATTTATAAGTATCAACAACAGCATCTTTACTGTTATTACCCATTCTATCTACATGGGTTATCCTTAGGCTATACAGACACACAAATTTGTATATAAAGGTTACCTTTGGGACCAGAAAAAAAGTTTACCTTATAAGAGATATGACATTTGAATTGAGGTTCAAAATGCAAATTTATTACTACAATGGGACTAGAAGAGTGACCTGATTAAAAAAAAAGTTTTTTATTCAAAAGAGGTGACCTTAATAGTAGGTTTGGCTATTCATAAAGACATCTGTCTACTGACGAACCATTCTATCTACACAGGTTATCCTTAGGATATATTCACACAAACATCTGTATACTGATGAACCATTCTATCTACACAGGTTATCCTTAGGATATATTCACACAAACATCTTTATACTGACGAACCATTCTATCTACACAGGTTATCCTTAGGATATATTCACGCAAACATCATTATACTGACTAATCTAACTAACCGTTCTATCTACACACGTTATCCTTAGGATATATTCACACAAACATCTTTATACTGACGAACCATTCTATCTACACAGGTTATCCCTAGGATATATTCACACAAACATCTGTATACTGATGAACCATTCTATCTACACAGGTTATCCTTAGGATATATTCACACAAACATCTTTATATTGACTAATCTAACTAACCATTCTATCTACTCAGATCCTCCTTAGGAAGTATTCCCAAGGTCAGTGGTTCTGTCTAGACACTCTTGCTTCCTCTACCAATACTGACTCCCATGATATAGCCAATAGTGCTGAAAGTGGTGTTAAACACCAACAATCAATCAATAAATCTTAGGAAGTATTAATGAAAACATCTTTAAACTGACTAATCATACTAACCATACTAACCAGACTAACCATACTAACCATTCTATCTACTCAGATCATCCTTAGGAAGTATTCCCAAGGTCAGTGGTTCTGTCTGGACACTCTTGCTTCCTCTACCAATACTGACTCCCATGATATAGCCAATAGTGCTGAAAGTGGTGTTAAACACCAACAATCAATCAATAAATCTTAGGAAGTATTAGTGAAGACATCTTTAAACTGACTAATCATACTAACCATACTAACCAGACTAACCATACTAACCATACTAATCTTTCTATCTACACAGATTATTCTTAGTAGGTATAAGTGAAGACATCTTTAAACTGACTAATTATACTAACCAGTCTAACCAGTCTAACCATACTAATCTTTCTATCTACACAGATTATTCTTAGTAGGTATAAGTGAAGACATCTTTATACTGACTAATCATACTAACCATACTAACCATACTAATCTTTCTATCTACACAGATTATTCTTAGTAGGTATAAGTGAAGACATCTTTATACTGACTAATCATACTAACCATACTAACCAGACTAACCATACTAACCATACTAATCTTTCTATCTACACAGCTTATTCTTAGTAGGTATAAGTGAAGACATCGTTATACTGACTAATCTTTCTAACCATACTAACCATACTAACCATTCTATCTACACAGATTATCCCTAGGAAGTATTAGTGAAGGCTCACCTACTGCCTCTCGACGAGCTTTAGCTGTTCAAAGAGTGTAAGTTATTGTTCAGGCCCTTTTCATTTATTTTGATAGAATTATCTCCCTTGGAATCTGATGTCTCTTGTCAAAACAGTAAGAAGATACTACTGTTGTCAGGCAGACATGAGAATGTACATATTTATAGCTTGCCTGGCTGAAAGTCAAGTGAGCTTTTCTCATCACTTGGCGTCCAGCGTCTGTTCTCCGTCGTCTGTTAACTTTTACAAAAATCTTCTCCTCTGAAACTGCTGGGCCAAATTTACCGATTTTTTGTGTTATTGCCTAATATCTTAAAACTGTAATTGATAGATAGAATCGATAAAAAGCAAAATGATCAGCACAACAGGATCTACAAATAAGTCAACATAGCCGAAATCTTCAGTCGACTCCTTTTTAGAGTTATTGCCCTTTAATAACAATTTTTACCTATTTATTCTGTTTTTGCTTAGTATCTTAAAAACTATGAGAGATAGATAGAAACTTTTAAAAGCAAAAATGATCAGCATGACATGATCTACTAATAAGTCAACATAACTGAAATCGTTAGTCGACTCCTTATTGAAGTTATTGCCCTTTAATGACGATTTTCACCATTTATGCCTATTATCTTGAAAACTGTAATAGATAAATAGAAACTTTAAATATCAGCAAGACAAGATATACAAATAAGCCATAAATGGCTGAAATCTTCAGTGGACTCGTTTTTTGAGTTATTTCCCTTAAATGATAATTTTTAACATTTGAATGTATTTTTTGCCTAATATCTTGAAAACTACAATAGATAAATAGAAATTTAAAAAAGGAAAAATTATCAGCAGGATAAGATCTTCAATGAGTCAACATGACTGAAATTGTCTTAATAGAGATATTCCCCTTTAATGATGATTTATATTAAAAAAGTGGCCATTGTTGAAGATGCAGGTGAGCGACACAGGCTCTTAAGAGCCTCTAGTTTTATAATTCTGATATAAGGTCAATCCCTTTTGATATTCAAATGAACACAAATTTTAAGAGTTAAGAAAATATGTACATCAACAAAAAAATTTAATTTTTAATATTGTCTTCCAAAATGAATACAGTGTTCCATTAGGTATGTGCCTTCTTCATGTTTTTGAGACACAGTTGTTAGTTTCTTTTTAAATCTAGTATATATATTATACTAAAAGCATTTTCATTGAGATGATGTTGTACCTGGTAGAATAGAACTTGAAACTTAGATTGTTTATGGTGATGCATTAAAACATTACAAATAAACATTTCTAAATGCCAGTAGCTTATGAATAAAAAGGCAAGTGACAGTAACCCAACAACACAAGACCAAAGACATCTAGACGTCAATATATACAGCCTACATCAATAGATAAGAAGTCTTTTTCCGTATTGTTTTGTAAAATTGAAATAATGATTTTCTCTTTTAAATAAAGTTTACGTAATTGAGCAGTATTTCTGATTTTTATGAAATTTTTATGCATTTAAAACCTTTTGAAGCATAAGATACTAAAACCAATTTCATAATAATGCTACACACAGTGTTATACAGAACTTTATGATATGGTGATCATACAAATTTGAACTTTCAATGTTTTAAAGGCAATATAAAAATGGTTTATTTCAGTAGAAAAGCCAGTCTGTCAGGTAGTACAAGTAGTTCTCCGGTTACCAGTCCACAAATGTCTCTCCGTCGTATTCCCCCACACAGTCCTTCAGCAACGCCACCTGGTTCTCCGAGCAATGTAGCCAACACACCATGGAAATCAAGACTGCATACGATCAAAAACAACTTCCTAGGATCTCCACGATTTCATAGACGTAAACTACAAGGTACTCTTATGATGAACGGTAATATTATGGAAATGGATTACTTAGAAGGTGAACATTGTTTTTATGCATGCTTGACTGATGTAGATGTGAAACTACCTGTAGGAATAAATTGTTTCCATGGCCATTTAGGGAAAGATTTAGGACGTCAGATTTTATATCATTGAAAGTTTGAAAAAACATTTGATCTCCTTCTTACAAAGCTCAGAAATTGTACCATGTACTAGTATATGTGTATTTGTATATTTGTTAGTTTGTGGGTAACCTCGTCAACACACTAAAGATCAATTGCTTTATGATCCTCAAATCTGGTTTACCTCAATTTTTATACGACCGCAAAAATTAAAAATTTTTTGGTCGTATATTGGTATGACGTTGGCGGCGTCGTCGTCGTCGACGTCGTCGTCTGGCGTCGTCCGAAGACACATTGGTTTTCGCACTCTAACTTTAGTTTAAGTGAATGGATCTCCGTGAAATTTTACCATAAGGTTCAATATCACAAAAGGAAGGTTGGGATTGATTTTGGGGGTTATGGTACCAACAGTTAAGGAATTAGGGGCCAAAAAGGGGCCAAAAATAAGCATTTTTGTAACTTCCACCTATAACTTGTGTGTTAGTGTATGGATCTCTCTGACATTGTACCACAAGGTTCCATATCACAAAGGGAATGCTGGGATTGGTTTTGGGGGTAATTGCCTCAAAATTTTAGGAATTAGGGGCCAAAAAAGGGGCAAAAAACAAGCATTTTTCTAGTTTCATGATAATAACTTGTGTGTAAGTGTATGGATCTTTCTGAAATTGAACTACAAGGTTCCTTATCACAAAGGGAAAGCTGGAATTGAGTTTGGGGGTAATTGCCCAAAACATTTAGGAAAAAGGGGCCAAAAAGGGGCCAAAAATAGCATTTTTATAGTTTCCAGACAATTACTTGTGTTCAAGTGTATTGATCTCTCTGAAATTGTACTGCAAGGTACCATACCACAAAGGGAAGGCTGGGATTGATTTTGGGGGTAATTCCCTCAAAATCACAGTATTGCACAATAGCAAGAAATCTTTCATTGCACAGTATTGCGCAATAGCAAGAAATCTTCAATTGCACAGTATTGCGCAATAGCAAGAAATATCCAATAGCACAATATTGCGCAATAGCAAGAAATTGTCAATTGTACAGTATTGCGCAATAGCAAGAAATATTCAATTGCACAGTATTAATTGCTTATTTCTTGACCAATTTCAATGGGGTTTAATTCTTGAATTCTTGGGGTTCTTTAATATGCTGAATCTAACCGTGTATTTAGTTTTTGGATTTTGGGCCCCGATTTTAAATTGGTCCACATTGAGGTCCAAAGGGTCCAAAATTAAACTTTGTTTGATTTCATCAAAAATTGAATTATTGGGGTTCTTTGATATGCCGAATCTAACCGTGTATTTAGATTCTTAATTTTTGGTTCCGTTTTCAAATTGGTCTACATTAAGGTCCAAAGGGTTCAAAATTAAACTCAGTTTGATTTTAACAAAAATTGAATTCTTAGGGTTCTTTGATATGCTGAATCTAAACATGTATTTAGATTTTTGATTATGGGCCCAGTTTTCAAGTTGGTCCAAATCGGGGTCCAAAATTAAACTTTGTTTGATTCAACAAAAATTGAATATATGGGGTTCTTTGATATGCTGAATCTAACCATGTATTTAGATTTTTGATTTTTGGGCCCCGTTATCAACTTTATCCACATTGAGGTCAAAAGGGTCCTAAATTAAACTTTGTTTGATTTCATCAAAAATTGAATTCTTGGGGTTCTTTGATATGCCGAATCTAACCGTGTAGTTAGATTCTTATTTTTTGGTTACGTTTTCAAATTGGTCTACATTAAGGTCCAAAGGGTTCAAAATTAAACTTAGTTTGATTTTAACAAAAATTGAATTCTTAGGGTTTTTTGATATGCTGAATCTAAACATGTATTTAGATTTTTGATTATGGGCTCAGTTTTCAAGTTGGTCCAAATCGGGGTCCAAAATTAAACTTTGTTTGATTTCAACAAAAATTGAATATATGGGGTTCTTTGATTTGCTGAATCTAACCATGTATTTAGATTTTTGATTTTTGGGCCCCGTTATCAACTTTGTCCACATTGAGGTCAAAAGGGTCCTAAATTAAACTTTGTTTGATTTCATCAAAAATTGAATTCTTGGGGTTCTTTGATATGCTGAATCTAACCATGTATTTAGATTTTGGATATTGGACCATAATAGGTGATTGTCCAATTTAATAAAAAAATTTAAGTTCTTAGACCACATTCATTCTGTGTCAGTAACCTATACTGTGTCAAATATTTAATCACAATCCAAATTCAGAGCTGTATCAAGTTTGAATGTTGTGTCCATACTTGCCCCAACTGTTCAGGGTTCGACCTCTGCGGTCGTATCAAGCTGCGCCCTGCGGAGCATTTAATTTTTTCTAGTCTGAGGTTAAGGTCAAGATTCAGGTCAAATCTTTGTCATTGCAGAGAAATACTATACTCCACTTCAGTGTAGTTTTTGATTCTGTGCATGTCAGACCAAAGTTAATTACAAGCTTGTCAGACTATCAAATTAACTCAAGAGATGGCGGTACCCCTATTCATATTCAAGGAAAGAGGTCAAGCAGAGATCAAAGGTTATGGTTAAAACCTTTGTAATTTGGTACAAACTATATTGCTTGCTCAGTGTTCTTGAAAAAAGGTACACTTAATTACAGAAATCTGTTTAACTCAGATCTTGGAGATTGTTTATAGTAATTTGCCATACTAGAGACCAGCCATTCAATTTTGTTGCATGCCAAGGAGAGTCCCTGTATTAGGTAATATTGATTTTAAGTCACAAGTCAATGAAAACAATTTATTCCTACTGTTCCTGAATACTAACAGTGAGTATACTTACACACAACAGCCTACTAAATAGTACTAATATATTTTGTTAATAGATGAAAGTGAAAAAAGGTGTGATAATTACTTTTACTGTGGTCAAATAATGATTTATAAGACAATGGGTTTTGATTTGACAGGAAAAATGTGTTAAGGGTATCTATTATCCTATTTGGTATGGGACCTAGGGGTATTTATGATCCCATTTTGTATGGGATGTAAGGGTGTCTATGATCCCATTTTCTATGGGACGTAGAGGTATCTATGATCCCATTTTCTATGGGACCTAGGGGTATCTATGATCCCATTTTCTATGGGAGTAGGGGTATCTATGATCCCATTTTGTATGGGACATAAGGGTGTCTATGATCCCATTTTCTATGGGACGTAGCTAGAGGTATCTATGATCCCATTTTCTATGGGGAGTAGGGGTATCTATGATCCCATTTTCTATGGGACGTAGGGGTATCTATGATCCCATTTTCTATGGGACGTAGAGGTATCTATGATCCCATTTTCTATGGGGAGTAGGGGTATCTATGATCCCATTTTCTATGGGACATAGGGGTATCTATGATCCCATTTTCTATGGGACGTAGGGGTATCTATGATCCCATTTTGCATTGGTGTTAGGGGTATCTATATTCCTATTTTGTATGTTACGGGTAGTTGAATCTATGATCCCATTTTCTATGGGACGTAGAGGTATCTATGATCCCATTTTCTATGGGGAGTAGGGGTATCTATGATCCCATTTTCTATGGGACATAGGGGTATCTATGATCCCATTTTCTATGGGACGTAGGGGTATCTATGATCCCTTTTTTGCATTGGTGGTAGGGGTATCTATGATTCCATTTTGTATGAGTTGGTGTATAAAAGAATTATCTCATTTTGTATGGGTAGTGTATTATCTCATTTTGTAAGGGAAGTAGGGTTATCTATGATCCCATTTTGTATGTGTGAGGTAGTTGTATCAATGATCTCATTTTGTATGAGTTGGGGACTTGGGGTAACTGTAATCCCATTTTGTATGAGTTGGAGTAAGTATTATTTCATTTTGTATGAGATGTAGGGGTATCTATGATCCCTTTTTGTAAGGGAGGTAAGGGTATAGATCACATTTTTAATTGAGATAGGGGTATCTATAATCCCCACTGTATGGATAATATTAAAAGGAATGCTTTTGTTTAATTCTAAACTAACTTATGCATGCTTTCCTTAAGGACTTGGTACATTTAGAATATATAAGGTCTAGTTAATTTGTAAATTATCAAAAAAGCACATTTTCACAATTTTCTTGCATTTCATTTAGAAATGTTTGTGATGAAGTCACCATTAATGAGATGTAGTCATTTTGTGCTGATGTTGGGATATCAGTAAAGTTATTGATAAGAAGCAGATTTCAGTTGTGATTTGGAAATGCACACATTTAACAATAACATTATGTGCAGATGTTGCTTGAAGCAAACATTTTATAGGTCATAAACAGTGGCAAAAACTAAATTTATGTGTGTGGAACTTATTTTGCTGCCAAGTAAGAAGCATGTTATTTCTTCCTAATATATGATATGAAATTGAAATGATTATTGATGAATAGAATTGATTGACTCTTAATTGTATTTTAATGACTATTATTATGAATTTCAGTGCCTACAGATGATGTGTCCTTGACACCTGAGTCATCACCTGAGTAAGTTGCTTTTTAATTCTTTACAGAACCAAACTTCAACTCAGTTCTATGAGTAATGTCACATGAATCATTTTGAAAATGTGAATAGTTTCTAATTTGGATAGACGATGCTGCTTTTTTTTGGATTTGATGTGCATGTCCTAAAATTTTGCAAGACCTAAACTGTTGACTGCGTACAACAATTTGGCTAATAATAATGTTACAATGTGATGTCATAGTTTTGCATGAATGTCTTTGATATCATAGCTGTGATGTTATAGTGTTATGAGATTGTCTGTAATGTCATAGTTTTAAGTGATTGTCTGTGATGTCATCATTTTACTAGATTGTCTTTGATATTATAGTTTTACACAATTGTCTGTGATGTCATAGTTTTATGAGATTGTTCGTGATGTCATAGTTTTACGATATTGTCTGTGATGTCAAAGTTTTATGAGATTATCTGTGAAGTCACAGTTTTACGAGATTATCTGTGATGTCATAGTTTTAAGAGATTATCTGTGATGTCATTGTTCTATGAGATTGTCTATGATTTTGTAGTTTTATGAGATAGTCTTTGATATCATAGTTTTACACGATTGTCTATGATGTCATAGTTTTATGAGATTGTTCATGATGTCATAGTTTTAAGAGATAGTCAGTGATGTCATTGTTTTAAGAGATAGTCAGTGATGTCATAGTTTTACGAGATTGTTTGTGATGTCATAGTTTTACAAGATTGTTTGTGATGTCATAGTTTTACGAGATTGTCTATGATATCCAAGAAATTGAATGGTAAATAAATGGTAATAGATAGTATTTCAGCCACATGAAATATGTTTACTTTTCACTGAAAATCACCTTCAAAGATGAGTGGGATAAATAGATCAAAACAATTACAAATTATTATCATAATAAAACTCTAGCTGTTACATATTACACATTGATTTAAATATTATTTCAGTATGATTTTCAGCATCATAGTATAATTTCTTGTGGACATTCCTGTGCAGTAATTGATTTTATTTTAATTTAAGAATGACAAAGAAATCTTGGTTTGGTGCTTTGATGGGATCAGACAGAGAAGAATTCCATTTTCTAACAGGGCAAGATAAAACCATAAGTCAAGTTAAAGCTGACCTCATTCATGCATTCCTATCAGTAAGTTTTAACATAGGCTATGATAAAAAAGTTAGTTATGTGAAAATTAAACTTATTCATGCACTCCTATATGTAAGTTTTGACAGAGAGAAAGTTAAAAGTGAAAAAAGAAACATGAAGCTGGGAAACAGTTAGGGCAAAGTGTCTTTATGTGTAAACCAAAATGGTATTCATAATTCCCATTGTATGCATATGTTGAGGTAGAATTTTCTTTTTTTATTAATAATCCACAAATACTTAATAAAACAAATTATACATTTGATTACAATATTGTGACCTGTGGATGTCTCAGCATATTCTCTCTAAGGTCATATCAGCAAAATTTAGAAAACAAATTAAAGTATCATCATTGTAAGGGAACTGTAGGGTTTGATCTCACATACAACTTTTAAACTAGTCAGATTATTTGGTTAGTGCCCGTCTTTTTCATGTTGACGGTACTACAAAAATATAGTATCCCAAATTAGCTCAGATAAGTAGCAAAAGGTATAGAAGAAAATGGGAGAGAGAGCCAAGCAGGAAAAATACTGGCATTAATCTTTTTATGCCCCACCTATGGGCATTATGTTTTTCGGTCTGTGTGTCCGTTTGTTCGTCCGTCCGTTTGTCCATCCGTCTGTCCCACTTCAGGTTAAAAATTTTGGTCAAGGTAGCTTTTGATAAAGTTGAATTCCAATCAACTTGAAACATAGTACACATGTTCCCTATGATATGATCTTTCTAATTTTAATGCCAAATTAGAGTTTTGACCCCAATTTCACGGTCCACTGAACATAGAAATTGATAGTGCGAGTGGGCAGGTTAAAGTTTTTGGTCAAGGTAGTTTTTGATGAAGTTGAAGTCCAATCAACTTGAAACTTAGTACACATGTTCCCTATGATATGATCTTTCTAATTTTAATGCCAAACTAGAGTTTTGACCCCAATTTCATGGTCCACTGAACATAGAAAATGATAGTGCGAGTGGGGCATCCGTGTACTATGGACACATTCTTGTTCTAAGCTTTCTTAGCCAGCATAAATAGGCAAGACTTATGGTAAGGTTTTGAGCACCTCTGCAGAGCTTTAATTCAGATTAGCCTTTTAGACATACTAAATTTATAAAGTGCTATTTTTGTTATCAACATTAAGGATGGGATTGACCACTGAGTACATGGTAAATTTATGATTCAAGTGGGTTTTTTTCAGACTTCCGATTTAAGTCACAGTGTTGTGTCCACATCAACCTTCAGAGCAGAGTATCGTAGAACCAGTAATACATCTATGTTTTCTCGTAGTGTACGGTTCCAAGTGGACATAACTCCAGCTCATACAACAGGGGTTACTACAGGAACCATGTATTGTTTGACCTTCTCACTTATATCAGGTAGGTTTTATTTTTTGTTTCTTTGAACTAGATATCAATTCTCTTATTGTTGGTGCAATTGAACAGGTTCCTGAGCTTAGATTAATTTTGATATATCACAATTTGATTAATTCTCACATTTGGTATACTGTTTGAGAGAGAAATAGATTCTAAAACTTTTTATTGTATTCCTGAATTTTTGTCAAAATATTTGGCATACCTTGCATTTTCAATTTTTAAATTGAAATATACCTTGATATGGTAATGCAGGCGTCATTTTGTCAGAAATAATATGTCAATATTGAAAGCTAGAAAGTAGAAAAAAATACTTGTTAATCCTTTCTTTTCTAACATTTATATATTTTAGGACCATCACGTAGATTTAGACGAGTTTGTGAACATTTACAAAATTTAATGTTAGGTCCAAGAGGTGATGCTTTAAACCAGAGAAAAGTCAGTACAGATAGTACATCATCTTATTCATCAGAAACAGGACTTTCTCCAACACACAGCTGTTCAGCAAGGGATAATGGGGATGAAGAGGTATTTATTACAACTGTATAGTTTAATATGGAGTTCAAAGAAATTGTTGTTTATTTTGGCCCCCGTCGCAGCAGAGGGGGCACTAAGTGTTACCCTTGTCCATCTGTATGTCAATCCGTATGTACGTCCCAAAATTAGTTTCTGTTCTCTACCTTTAGTTTGCCTCAACCAAATGTTATGAAACTTATACGCAGTGCCTATTACTACAAAACACAGATCAACTTTGAATTTAGGTGGCCTCACTTTTACCATTTAGAGTTATGCCCTTTACAAATGGGTTTCCGTTCTCTAACTTAAGTTTGCCTCAACCAAATATTATGAAACTTACTCACAATGCTTATTACCTCAAAACTTAGATCAAGTTGAATTAAGTTGGCATCACTTTTACCCTTCTTGAGTTATGTCCCTTTATAATGCTACATGCAAGTGGGGGCATCATCTGTATCCCATGGACACATTCTTCATTTATTTTTCATGAAATTAGTGCATATGACCTGAAAAGATTTTTTTAAGCAGTTAAGCTGCTTTATGCGAGCACCCTAGATTTGTGTTCTACCCAATAAATGCTGAAATATGTGCCATTGTAATTATCTGGCTGGCTATTATGTTATTTATAACTAATTGAACACTTTTTTCATACTTTTAATTCTGGAATACAAAAAATATGACCAGAAAAACCTTAAATGATCGTCGAACCACCCAAAAGTTTTGAAGTTGCACATAGGAAGTAGTGCTCAATAGAAATCCATATGTAGTTTATTATCCCTTGTGCTTTTGGCCAAGATGTCAAAGAACAATTGCATGAATTATATCATCGCCGAAAATCTCTAATTACAAGTCGTTTACAGTTGCCAAATGGCACAAAGCGCAGGAATATTGTATAACGGCTGTGACTAATATGACACGGAGTTAAAGTCTCAGTTGGCGGTAATTTTAACTTCGTCGACAAAACGTAAATCAAGGACGTTTTAAATTTGGTGATTTCTGATAATAATCATTTTGTTCAACCGCTAGCTTTATACCGAAAATCGCCAACATGTTATGTGTAAATTCGAGTAAATCGTATCTGACTGACAAAAACAACATTGAAAAACAATGGATGCCATAAACCGGAAATGAAGACCGGATCTAATTCTGGGGGCGGATAAGGGTAATTCCGGGTTTGCCGATCAAATACAATAAAAATAAAAATTCCAGGCATGAGACAAAATACATCTATCATGATGAAATATAAACTCTAGAATTGAAAACCAAAGATTATTGAAAAGAAAGAAAAAGCAGGAAATATTTTATACAGAAACTCAAAATTACTTTTAGTTCACAAATTTTCATGTCAAAAACCAATAAAATGTGACAGTATTTTCCTTATCATTAATAAATATTGATATTACATGTAGATGTTTTTATTGTTTAAACATATTACTACAATTCCATGAGGTAATTTCTTCTCAATTTTGAAGGGCCTATAAAATCTGGAAGTTTCTTACTTTATTTTACAGAGGAACTAGCTAATATAATATATAATATATAGTGCAACTATTGTTATGCGTTTACTTTTCTACATTGGCTAGAGGTATAGGGGGAGGGTTGAGATCTCATAAACATGTTTAACCCCGCCGCATTTTTGCGCCTGTCCCAAGTCAGGAGCCTCTAGCCTTTGTTAGTCTTGTATTATTTTTAATTTTAGTTTCTTGTGTACAATTTGAAGTTTAGTATGGCGTTCATTATCACTGAACTAGTATATATATTTGTTTAGGGGCCAGCTGAAGGACGCCTCCGGGTGCGGGAATTTCTCGCTGCATTGAAGACCTGTTGGTGGCCTTCTGCTGTTGTCTGTTCTGTGGTCGGGTTGTTGTCTCTTTGACACATTCCCCATTTCCATTCTCAATTTTATGATACACTTAAACAGTTTTGAATTTGAACTATTTAATATAATGGTATAATTAGTAATAAATAATCAATTGTTGAGACAACACACCCACCCACAGTGATACCCTCAGCCTCCCTCAGCCTTCCTAATACAAAAAAAAAAGATTATTTGAATTCATAAATTAATATACAAGACAATTACATTTATTATTAAACATGTTAAACGACAGTGACACTGACAATGAAACAAGCTAACTTAACACCAAAAGCACATTAAAGTATCTTACTGAGTTATGAACTATTTCAAGTAAAAGCAGGACCTGGAATTTAGGTTGTGGACCTTTCAGTTTGGAGTGTCAAAGATCCTGGACTGTCCAGTACCAAATGTTAATTTTAACCCCTGCATTCACAGTAAAGCGATTTTGACGTGTATTGCAATTCCAAGTAGAATTTACTTTTGGACATTAAACGTTTCGAATGCGTATTAAACTAATTCAAATCAGTTAATAATGTGAATCGAATTCGAATTATGTGTAAACGCAGCATTGATATATCTAAGAAATGAAGAATATTAAAAAAAGATGGACAAAATATTTGTATTAAATTTGTTGCAATTTTTGTCTTGCCTTGACAGAGTCAAAAAGTGAGACATATATATATATATAGGCATGCTGTTTTGGCGGAATCAACAATGTATTAGTTTGTGATTTTGTGATAAGGTCTGGTTTCTGGTAGGTCAATGACATTTGGTAAGTAGTTGTGTTAGCATAGGCACATCTCATTACCATAGAGAATATTTGGCCCCACCCCCTTAGTCATGGTCTATTGACTTTGAAACTTTGCATAGTTTACATGTATATGTTTGTGATTAGGTCAGTTTAGGGGGAACCACTAGTGGTAGGTCAATGATATTTGGTGTGCAGTTGTATAAACTTTTTCATTTCTAATTTCCATTGAGATTATTTGGCCCCGCCCCCTCAATCATGCTCTTTTTACTTGGAAACTTATGTTACTTTGAAATTTCATTTATTAGTTTTTGATTAGGTTAGTATTAGGGAAACCAATAGTGGTAGGTCAATGATAATTGGCATGTAGGTGTAGAAGCATTAGTACGTCTCATTTCCATAGAGGATATTTGGTCCTCACCCCTCAGTCATATGCATGATCTATTGACTTTGAAACTTTTACTTAGTTTACATGAATGAGTTTGTGATTATTATGATTATGTCAGTTTAAAATTACCAGTAATCTTAAGTCAAAGCTATTTGGTATGCGAACGTATTGGTATTCAAAAGTTTCATTTCCATGGATATTATATAACCCCACCCCCTCATTATGGTTCATTGACTTAGAAATTGAATTTGTGTTAAGGTTTGTTTAAAGGGAACGACTTATGAAAAGTCAATGGTATTTGGTTTGCAGTTGTACAAGCATTGGCACCTTTCATTTCCATAGAGATTGTTTAGCCCTGTACCTTCAGTCATGGTTCATTGACTTTGAATATCACTTACATGTTAAAGTATTACTATTTTAAGTGTAACATTTGCATTATCAAAATAACAAATAGGCAAAACATATCGTTGTGTTAATAGCTTATTATAGATTAGACATGTGTAATTATTGTAAAAATAAGGAGATGTGGTATGATTGCAAATGAGACAACTATCCACCAAAATTCAAATGAAGTGGATGTAAGCAATTACAGGCAACCGTACAGCCTTCAAAAATATATGTTGCATCATTGCTAGGCCATTATAACAACATCAGCATTTCTTGTAATACTAGTATACAAGAAAATTGCACCATTTCAGATAGTTTCAGGTATGATTTGATAATTGTGCATAGTGGCACCAGCTGATCCAACTAAAAGCGCTAATATGGCATATTCAAACTCTAGTACATAGTGGAATTAAACCATACACCACTGTTGGACACCATAATTGAAATTATTATTCTGAAAAGAATATTCCTCCATGCAGTCTGCAACAATTAGCAAAACCTAGACTGCATAGTAAGATATAAACGACCACGAAATGACAAATGTAAAACAATAAAACTAAAGCAGCCTGATTTATGTACAAAACAATTATGAAAAATAAATATGATATACAGCAACAATCAACAATCACCAAATTACTGCGTCCTCACTATGGACAGGTACATACAGAATGTGGCGGGTTAAACATGTTAGCTGGCACAAAACTCTCCCCTAACATGGGACAGTGTATGTGCATAATCTCAGACATTAAATCTTTAAAAAATAAATTGGAAATAACTTTTGAAAGTGGTAGGATTCTACCACTGCATCGAGTGTGATACGATATTTATCCACTCGAGACAGTTAAATTTTCAAATTTAAAACGCAAGGCTCGCCGAGCGTTTTAAATATTTAAAATTTAACTGTCGAGAGTGGATAAATATCGTATTACACGAGATTTGGTGGTGGAATCTGTTTCTCTAATGATTTTCAAACAATATGCAGGCAAACTTATTCCGTCTTTTCGAATGATCTGTAAAAAGATGTGTTCTTTCTATGTGATGTCATCAGGCATGGTCACCTTTTTTCATGCCGTCACAATAGGAAATTCAGAGGAAAGCAAGTAAATTTGACGTCATAATCGGATTTTAACCAATGAAGAACTGAGATCAAACGAACCACACGTTGATTAAATTTTTTTTATACAATGGGTGCAGAAAGAGATAAATTGACGAAGAGTTAGAGAAAAATATTTTCATCCATTCTTCCATAACATTCATCTTAACTTCTGCCAAGTTTACCTTTGATTTTTTTAATTAACTGCCTATAGCGCCTATAGCGCCTTTGGTGCTTTGATTTTATTATACATACAATCCTGATTCTAACATTGGTACCAGTCAGATTTAAATTGGATAATCCATGAATAAATATGTAAGAATCTGTTTTCCTAATGACTATCAAATAAATTTTTATATTTGATAAACCAAAATCCCCTTAAAGTGCCTCTTGACATTCCTGATTTCTGATGCGTAAACACTTCATTTATGCATCTCTGGTCAAAACGAAACACTTTTAATCATTGGACATTGCATTTGATAAAATATATATTCATAAGCAATAGTAAACAACTGTAACATCAATTTCTGAAGGTGGAACTATTTCCGCTAGGTAAAAGATAAAGGTTATGACCTTTTAACTTAGCCAATCATCTACTGAGATCATAGGCAACCACATTTTGATTAATCTTTTTTAAACAATGGGTTCAAAAAGAATTAGAGAAAGTTGTTATATATTACATCTCTTTTACAAAAAAACCAGAGTATGACAAAGAATTGAAAAAAAAAAGAATGACCAAAACTATCTGAATAAAATGAAAAATGTTACATGTAATTAAGTTTCAGTTTTATACCTGAAGAAGAGTTTTCAAGTATTTAAAAAGTTCAAAATTTGTTAAAAACTTTTACATCAGTTCATCTTTATTGTCTTTGTTTTTACAGGTATTTGAGAAGTTACGAGTTTCTAAAACTCCCACACCAGTCCGAAGGGAAGTACCCCGTGTGATAACTAATGGGAAAAAAGTATTAGTCGATCATCATTATCGTAAAGATAAAGTATGACGAAGAATATGCATATGTGTTGAAGCCAAAATGATGGAGTACATGGTTGTGTGTAAGACAGGGATCATTACATTACGTTATCATATTCATCCAAATATTGTAAACAGGACCAATCGTATATTTGGTTTATCTATCTTTGCACACTGATAGTCATCAGTGAAAAGTCATTTAAATCTAAATTACACATAGCATATTTCAGCTCATAAGCTCATATTTACACAGACTCTTATTATCTAAAAATTCAGAATTTAAAATGGATATTTTGCCTCTCCTGTAATAATTATCACTGAAGATGAGACATATGCATGCTGATCTAGTGGGAACAAGGTAAACCTTCTATATAATGATATAGAATTTAAATAAAAGGGCTGACTGATTATAAAAAAAACCAACATTATACTGCAGCTAGCACATTTCCTGTTGTCTTTCTTTATTAACCAAAAATATTCAAGTGATAATTCTTGCAATGTCGATTTTTTTTACATCAATTTTTTATCATCTTCCATATTAAACTTTTTAAAAAATCATTTTCTCCGAAACCACTAAACAAATTTCAACCCAATTTGACTCGAATGATCTTAAAGTTATCTAGTATAAAATTTTTGTTTTATGTCCCCACCAATAGGCCACCATATAATAGATAGAGAAAATCTGATGGAGTAAAAATGTTTTCTTTAGAAACCATCGCACTAGGGGTCAGTTATTTCAAAATTATATTGGTCAATATTCTCATACATCTTATCGCTATTTAGTCCAGTCCAGAAAAATTGTCACTTATACAACTTTCTGGTTGGGTCTTGTGTCTCAATAACAAAGGTCACCAGTAATGAGCTGAATGAGAAAAAAGCTAAGAGAGTGAACATTGTGAAATTTTAATGGTCTATGATCCAATTTTTTTCAATACACAAATTAAGGTCAAAAAATGATTTGTTTGAAGTGTGTATGATGGGTTAAATATGTCTCTTTGAAAAGCTTTATGAACAATACATTGTTTAAACAGGGCCCCAGATAGCTTCTACTGGTTTGAGAAGTTCTGGAAAGCTTTATAAACAATAATTTGTTTAAACAGGGCCCCAGATTAGCTTCTACTGGTTTGAGAAGTCATGAAAAAGTTGTGTAATTTCAGAACTTATCCCTATTTGAATGAATAGCGATAAGATATATTGTCAGGCCAGTTTATATGGACAGATTATTTTAATATATACCTTTAAGTTGAGGAAAATTTACTATTATAAATTGCTTATTTGAACAAGAAATGCTGTAAAATGAGAGTGAAGTATCAAGAAATATGTTGTTTTTTCTCTTGATATATGGAATTTTCTGACCTAATGTAATGTAATTTAAACATGGATTTTTAAAGATGTCTTTTTGTACAATTTATAATGCATTGGTACAAATCTTTGCTGATTGTTAACTTTACTTGCAGAGATTTAAAGAATTCATTTAGCCTGAATTTTTATATATTTTTTTCTGCAGTGCAGAAGGCTATTTTATTCTGTTTTAAATTGTGAGTAGTTTGCTCTTAAAAGTGAAAATGTCTGCATCACCTTATGTTATTTTGCTGTTATTAAATAAAACATAGGAGCTAGGTTAAAAGTGTATATGACATAACTAATCAGTAATACAAAGAATATCTAGAAGTGCAATGAAAGGTTCTCACAAGCAAACTTGTATTTTTTTCAACAGGCAGTAAGCCTCTTGATAAATATTGCTGTCAAAAATCCTTACAAGTTAGCTTTGGTAGTTCCAGATGACTGTTTTGTGAGTCATAATTTAATTCAGTATCTGTTTTGACAAAACCTTTGTGATGTCCTCTTTATGTTATATGGGTAACCATGAGTTGTGATTATATAATACTGCATTTTGGTTAACTGACCATTTACATCGTTCCATAAAAATCATGTCTTGTTGATGACTGCAAGATGGAGAGAAAAATAATATTTGTTAAACCTTAATTACATAAAACCAGTGATAATCAAATAAAACAGTCCAAAGTAGGTCATTTCGATGAATCATTTTGTACATTTCATTTACACTGTGTAGCATCACCACCAGTTAGAGGTTCCCCCCAAGTGGTCAAATTCATCTTAATTTCATTATATTCTACCTTTTGCTGTCAAGTAAAGTTTTGTGATAGTGATTCCTAATAATATAGCTACTATTAAGGGCTGATTACTATCCTTAATTGGCTTTCTATCTCTTCAAATCATCAGAATTGGATAGGGGGTACCTGTTCAACAAAGCATGTGACGAGCTCAAACTTGTTAAAAACACTTTTATCCTTCAACTATTCATTTGAAGTTTTCGTAGAACAAAGGTATATCATATTTAAGCTTGAACAACACTGTATTTCTAAATAAACTATTGTTTACACAGAGAAATTCATGTTAAAGAAGTGGATAAATTGTATGGCGAATAGTTGTTTACTGTATGGGGATTAAAATAGAAACTTTTTGCTATCATTGTTTCCTTGCTTCGAGGGTACCTTTATTCGATGGTGATGCTACACAGTGTTTTATCATTTTTTGCTGAAATTACACCATTTAATATAATGAAAATCACACTTATCATAGTTAATGAATTATGATATTGTGGTAATTGATTTATTTTACTTAAATAAGTGATCACTGATCAAGCAATGTTTTAATAGGGTTTGGTTACATGAGTGTAATTGTTTTATAAGTAAAATTAATTGATGAGATTAATAATTGATGATTGGGCTGATTGAATACAAAACCTTCAAATATAACATTGGTACCGTGAAAATAATTTTCTGTGGTGTTCTTTCTGTTTAGAATATTGTTATGACATACATAATAAGAAAGTATTTACATGTTAGAGCTAATTTCCTTATGCTTGTAGAATATGACTTTGGTTAGCTTGCTTGCTTTGTTTGTATAAATGTTTGCTCAATCATTGTAATTAAGATTGACAACTGCAAACAATATAAATAGGCAGAGTTAAACCTGTATACATTATACTTAAATCTAGCTTATTAAATATGTTTACATGTACAGTGGGTGTTATAACCTCCACGATAACATCCAATCAAATTTAAGCATAATGTATACAGGTTTAACTAGGCCTATTTAAATTGTTTGCAGATGTCAATCTTAATTACAATGCTTGAGCGAACGTTTATACAACAAACAAACAAGCAAGCCAAACAAAGTCTTACTCTTCAAGCATTAGGAAATTAGCTCTAGAAAGCCTGACTGATTGGATTCTATCACTTCTTTTATTTTTTAATTTCAATTTTATTAAAAGACAAATGAGGAGTTATGATTTGGCCCATGAAATTGTAAAAATTGGAAACTTATTCAATTCTTTCAAAATTATGTTTATTTTATTGATAAATGGAGAGGTTAATATAACATGGACACTTTAGTGCTGAAAAGTCACTTGTGATATCACTCTGATTTCATAAACGTTGAAATTTACATATGGTTGACCTAAAATGGTAATTTCATGATTAGTTTATGGTAAAAATATATTAGAACAGCAGCTTTACCCAAAAAGATATTTGACACATTTTAAGATCTTTGTATAATACATTTTGTAGCAAAATATCTTGTTGGGTAAAGCTGTTGCTTATTAGTCCCCTCCTGACGAAGTCGAAGGGGACTTTAGGTTTGCACTCCGTCCGTCTGTCTGTCTGACCATCTGTCTGTCCGTCCTTCTGTCAGTCCGGCAAATCAGTTTTCCACACTTTTTTTCTTCATGCTTGAAGATATTGATTTGATATTTGGTATGTTGTTTTATCATGAAAAGTTACAGATCAAGTTCGAATTTTGTTTCGGTTTGATAATTTTGTGCAGAGTTATGGTCCTTGGACTTGGAAAATTCACTCAAATATTCAGTTTTCCGCATTTTTTTTCGTCATTCTTGAAGATATTGATTTAATAATTGGTACATTGTTTTATCATGACAAGTTACAGACAAATTTTGAATTTTGTTTCGGTTTGATGATTTTTTGCAGAGTTATGGTCCTTGGACTTAGAAAATTCACTTAAATTATCAGTTTTCCACACTTTTTTTCGTCATGCTTGATGATATTGACTTGATATTTGTTATATAGTTTACACCATGACAAGTTATAGATCAAGTTAGCATTTTGTTCCAGTACAATTAATTTTTAACTGGTAGGGGACTATGTATTGCCATATGCAATACTCTCAGAATGCTTGTATTTAAATATTAATGACAAGATCTCAAAATGAGGCTATTTTGGCAGTTTTTGCTGTTTTGCACTTGATATAAGAAGTTTGAAGCCATAATGCCAGTATGTAAGACAAAATTCAAAAATATAAATACTGATGTCTGACAGACGTGTTATAAACAATTCAAGGATGTTATTTGATAGATTATTATACTTTTTGATTTTTAAATTTAAGGGGTAAAAAAAAATGGCCTTATCATACCTCCTTCTTTGCTGATGAGCATAAAAAGTGCCTCAAACTTGCTTATTGGCGTCCACTGATTTGCTTTAAACTCTCAAGTTACACTTTTTCTATAAGATTTATTCATAATGGTTAAAAGAGAAACTATAAATGAAAAATTATAGTGATTATTTTTTTTTAATTTTCATTAGAAAAAATTAAATCAGAAGAAATAAAATCCAGATTTGTGAGAATTAAAAAAAACATGAAGAAAAAGAACCAATTACTTTCTTTAAGACATTCATACCACATATTTTGAAATATTGCACATGTATTAACAATATCCATAGGGTTAAATGTAACCGATTTTAAAGAATTAAATGTAATCGTATGTCAAACATTTCAGAATTATATACAGATTTTGTACACCATTTATGACATTGTATAAGAATGTATTTCTTAGGTCTTTCATTAATATAACAAGACTCAGAACACCCGACCATACTCATGTTATGTACATATGATATAGTATAGGGTTATTGTATGAGTATTTGTGAAAAATGTCCCAAGTAGATTTTTATATTGCATGAGTTTGCAAGTACAATATTTATTCTACCAGGGATATTATTATACCTTACACTAAGATGTCGTTAAATGAATTTGGATACCCTGCATTTATCATGCTTATCATTAACATATTGTCAAATCGCTGAAAGCCCCCTTCCTAAATGATTGAAAACTATCATTCTGCATTAACAATAATATCTTGGTGTAAATTAGTTACACCCATTTGGGCAAACGTGTATCTAATACTTACAAAAATAATGAACAATTCTATTAGGTAACACATTATCATGTGACCATGAATAATTCAGTTAATTTTCATTTGAATATAAGGAAGGAAGAATAACCCTAAAACTTGACACCCAGCGATGAATAACCCTTTTATTCATTAGTGAATAACCTTTTGAGCTTCTTGATTTGTATGCAAGTTATCTCCCATCAAAATGATGTCATAGATGTATGTAAACAAAATGGCAACAACGAAGTAAAAATTCTATCGAGTGACGAGGAAAGAGACTTGGAAATTCTCACTAAGGGCACTTTTCAGGGCCATCATTAATTTTCAGAAAGAGTCTACCTTTGTTGTACAATAAATTCTAAAACACAAAATAATTCTCTGGCGTAAGTATTTTAACAATCTGTTACTACAGTAAGGCACATGCTTCTTTAACATGTATCTAAATACCCTATATAACTGTTAGTTCGGTCTACAGTAAGGTACATGCTTCTTTGACATGTATCTAAATACCCTACAACTGTTAGTTCGGTACAATAAAACAATTGGGGCCCTTAGAAGCTGTGAATATCCAAATTGTCAAACCTAAAAATTAATTTCACTTCGGGCTGTGTTAGGATTGACAATTTTAAATATCCACCTTTACTGTGGGCCAGTATTGTATCATAATATTCACAAATATTCATGCAATAACCCTTTTATTGTATATTAAAGCTTGAACAACTGTTTAAAACATATTTTTGTCACCATAATTTTAATGTATCCTTAAACAATATTTTAGAGTTATCCATACCAAAGGATACAGTATTTTGTATGATTTGTTGATTTTGTACATACATTAACCATCTTGTAGAAATGGACAGGTGTTTTGAGTATTGTAATATTACATTAAACTTTGATAGCTGAGTCATTGTATGCATTAATGATGTAGTGATAAATACATAAATAAAAAACATTGTATAAACAAATGTTTTTTTGTTTCTTCTTCTATAGATAGACATTGAAATGTTATTGGACAATCAGTGTTGAAATGTGTTAGACCTCAAAGTTTGTATCAAAACAAGAATAATAACTAATCAAAGACACCAGGACTTCAATCTGGCAAGAACCATCAGTGGCCAGTGACCAAAGTCGGAATTATAAAATTTCAATCGTCAAAAATACTACACGGCTATATCATATACCATTTGATTCGAAAATATGTGTACTTTGAGATTAATTTGGTCGTCAAAAGAAAATAAGGTGCAGTTTTTTCAGAAATCAAGATCAAAGGTCACATGTCGTTTTCAAGAAAAACAAAATTGAATATCTAATTCCAATTTAAATACCCTTTTTGCAGTAGAATGATTGAAAACGTGAATCTATTTTCTTCCTTATTCAATTTTTCATCAAAAAAGTGGAAACCCATCATTAAATGAGTTTTCCGAGTAAACATATGCGACTTTACAAAAAGGGGAGGTGGTTTTCAGTTCAAAAAGATGTATATTTTTCAAATGATAAGAACAGCGGCCGTCAAAACTATACAAAATGTATAGAAAAATATGAACAAACATGTATTTGTTAATATAACTATCTATTATACCTGAATGAAAGTGAAAACTTGAGTTTTGGACATATACGTTGAATTCGGTACATGAGAAACTGGCAATAAAAATTATTTCAAAACAAACTTATAATTGAGTTTAAACAATGTCATGATGTTTTGTATGAAATAAAATGTATTAATAGGAATATCAATCATTATAAAATAGACTAACAACTTTAAAAAGAAATTTTAATGATAGAACGGCCTTTTATTCGTTTAAAAATTGAAAAAATAGTTTAACATCGCACTAAACATACGTAACTTTAAAAAGCAATTCAGATCTCAAATGACTTTTGTATTTTGGGAACGTTATTACAAGGTTCTGACCCTTGGCTCGAATACATATGTTCATACATGAAAAATTTAGCAAATCTCGAATATCAATATTGGTCCAAATTGGTTAGAGAACACGACAAAATTCTTAAACAACAAATCCTATAATAATATTGCAAATATGAATGTTACGCTTCAGACATTTAACCTGTTGTGCATTGCAATAGAGTGGTGGTCAAATGTTTGTGTACCACGTGTAGCGTGCTTTTATCCAGTATCATTGGACATTTCAAAACATTTTGTCATTTGCAAAATACGCTTTGACCATATCATTCTAAAATTGGGGGACATAAAACAGCTGTAACATCTGGGCGCCTCTAGGACAAATGTCAAATGAACCCTGTCCAGAAAGGAATGGCTTGTCCTGCTGCTTGCAACTCTAAATATCTTTCAACAAAAGTCAAGAAAAAAACCATCTCTGATCGACAGTATACACTTGCCTCGGGTCTGGTTTGTACAATTGATTTGATATCTGAACTAGGGTTAACATTGATATCTCACTGCTGATGGTAAAAAACTTGTTTCTGTAAATTTGTCTTTGTAATTAATGAATAAAGTTTAAATCCCCGTAAAGGTCTAGAGTGGTTGTATTACAAGTTAGCTTTACACAGCCTTTACTTGAATATATTGTTTTAGAGTGTGTAATCCCTTGTCTTGGTTGTAGCTTTTTCTATTACAATATATGCAAGCATATGAAATAAAATGCTCCGCTGGGCGCAGCTTGATACGACCGCAGAGGTCGAACCCTGAACAGTTGGGGCAAGTATAGACACAATATTCAAGCTTGATACAGCACTGAATTTGGATTTTGATTAAATATTTGACACAGCATAGGTTTCTGACACAGAATGAATGTGGTCTAAGAACTTAAAATTTTTTTAATTTACCTATTGAAACCATATCATTATTATTTGCTTTTATATATAAATCGGAAATAACCAATTTAAAATGGAAAATTTTAAAGAAAAAAAAGGAAAAAAAATCCTCCCCCAAAATTTTTTGAACCCCCTTATGATGATTCATCAACCCCAAACTCAATCCCAGCCTTCCCTTTGTGGTATGGTATCTTGCAGTACAATTTCAGAGAGATCCATACACTGGAACATAAGTTATTGTCTGGAAACTAGAAAAACGCTTGTTTTTTGGCCCCAAATTCCTAAACGTTTTGGGCAATTACCCCCAAACTCAAACCCAGCTTTCCCTTTGTGATATGGAACCTTGTAGTACAATTTCATAAAGATCCATACACTTACACACAAGTTATTGTCCTGAAACAAGAAAAATGCTTGTTTTTGGCCCTTAATTCCTAAAATTTTGAGGAAATTACCCCCAAAATCAATCCCAGCCTTCCCTTTGTGGTATGGTACCTTGCAGTACAATTTCAGAGAGATCCATACACTTGAACACAAGTTATTGTCTGGAAACTAGAAAAATGCTTATTTTTGGCCCCTTTTTGGCCCCTTATTCCTAAACGTTTTGGGCAATTACCCCCAAAATCAATCCCAGCATTCCCTTTTTGATATGGAACCTTGTGGTACAATGTCAGAGAGATCCATACACTAGCACACAAGTTATGTCTGGAAGTTACAAAAATGCTTATTTTTTGCCCCTCATTCCTTAACTGTTGGTACCATAACCCCCAAAATCAATCCCCACCTTCCTTTTGTGGTATTGAACCTTATGGTAAAATTTTATAGAGATCCATTCACTTAAACTAAAGTTAGAGTGCGAAAACCAATGCGTCTTCGGACGACCACGACGATGACGCCAACGTCATACCAATATACAACCGCAAAAATTTTTTAAGGTCGTATAAAAATATAAATCGATTTACAAGAGAGACGAAAGATACCAGAGGGACATTCAAACTCATAAGTCGAAAATAAACTGACATCATGGCCAAAAAAGAAATACACGTACCCCAAGACAAACAATAGTACACAAAACACAACCTTCGATACCCATGACTTCGATTTCTTGACTTCAGCCGGCTGCTATTTTATCTGTATGTCCCTAAGAAACATTAGAGGCAACAGTAGTTAACTGATGTTAATTTTTTTCAAACAAAAACGGGGGGAATTCAAAGAACTTCAAAAAGAGGTCAGATCGGTGTGTCAACAGCATGCATCACGTGCCATGCAAATAAAAATTATCAACATGTTACAAACAGGAATGGGACACAAATGGCAAATTTTCAGATCTGATCTGATACTTAGTATGTAAAGATCTTAAACTGTGAAAAGATGCTGCTAGTGAGTTGAGACACGGTGAAGATTAAAGGTAACATTACTCGTGATGTGACCTAAAAACTTATTTTGTGTCGATTTCAGTCGCCGCTTCTTCCTCATAATTCAGTACATATAACAAAATCTGAATTTCCACGTTCCACCGACTCAGGTGTCACATGTGGATCAGAATATGCTACACCTTCCTGGGACACACGAGATAACCCGCATTTTTCAGTAAGGTTCGTGTTGATCTTTTAGTTTTCTATCATAGTGTTTTGTAGAATTTTGTTTGTCTTTACGTCGTTCTTCGACTTTGCCATGACGTTGTGATATTGTCGTCGACTAATAAGTTTGAATATCCCTTTGATATCTGTGGCCTGTTATAACCAGTTAAATGTTAGGAGTGCACCCCTGTTCATGAAGTCTGTACTGACTCAACATGCACGAGTGTAAGGTATCAATTGAGATATGTAAACAACATATGATGGCGCAGAGGATATAGAACTATTGAGACATTGGGAAATTGACAATTGAGTAGTTAAAATCGTCATCCAAAGTTTGTCATAGATTTTTGTTTGGAGTCGTCAATCTGTGTCAATATCAAAGAAAAGGTCAAGATATGAAGCAGACATTCTAGTGTCTGTAGTATCCTAATCACAAGCTCACTGGGATATATGAAATGTAAGTACTGAGTGACTGACATGTGGGTTATGGAGAGACAGGAAATCTTTAATATATCTGAATTTGAAATCAAAGAACTAAGGAAAATGGTTTTCTTTAGGTCTTTGAAAAGGTTCTGCATTTCCAATTGCAGTGTGGACTGTAAAAAATGTTATGTTATGTTGACTTATGCATCATTCATGTCCACTTTTATAATAAACAATTTCCAAACGAATAGAATGAACTAAAGTCACAATCATCCGCGCACTTTCAGGTAAATTTCATCATTACACAGGTATCAACTGTGTCAAAATACCGCGGTTGACTGTAAGTGGTAAATAAAACAATTATCCCACTTCTGCTTTTAAGAAAATAACACTATTTAAGGAAATAAACTTAATGCTTTGCTTCTTTTAAATATTAAAGCCAAATATCAACGGACTTCCCAGGAGTTTTGTCATCTTTTGGGGATTTTGTCGGATCCCTATTTCTTAAATAAACAACTGTAAACTTATTTTGTCTCTTATATAAATAAAACTATATCAACACAACCTCAAAAAAGAATTACGGACACCCAAATAAATCAACAAAACAATAAAACATCAACAAAAACAAGTAATATCAAGTCCTAAATATTTGAGGAAAACTATATTCAGTCCAATCAGGGACGGGACACAACTTTTCTGAATTTTTTTAAGTTAATGATTTAAAAGTAGAGATTTTTGAAAGTTTAAAAAATATCGTTATAAATAATCTTACCTCATAAAAACTTGTGTATATAAATAGAAAAATTGCAGTTTTATTAATTTATAGTAGTTACGATATATTTCATTCATCAGCGCCTTATTGTATGATGTTGGAATCTGGTGAAACACAAAATGTCCCCGTTTACAGTAATTTGTACCTTAGTAATTTTTCATCAAAAGGCTTTTAGGATTATCTTTTTCGCCTAATGAATAAAGAATTATGTGTGACATTTGAATAAAACAAAATAAGAAATATATTTGAGTGCAGCCTTTGCATAAAAAGCCAAACTGCATGCCACTAATGATCTGCATTTGAAGTCAAATTTGCTAGCTAAACGCTAAAATAAAAAAAAATGCACCATATACGACTTGTTGACGACCAATCTTAAATTCAAGTAAAATCATTTTTCTAGGACTGTGCAAATTTTTAGCCGTGTATTATGAGGTGAAATTAAACTCTTTTAATATTCAACTTTTTCCTATTCCGTCACCGCACTATCAGTGTCGTCTGAAGTTGAACAAAAACAATTGGAAGGACGAACCATTTTCAACTGAACCGAATCACTTCTTTACCTTAAAATTCACCAACCAACTTTTTTTACATGTAATTTCATCCCCCTTCTTACTATTTTATGAATAATATATGAAGAAATAAATTTGGAAGATGTATGAAAAAAAATAGCAAGTAATACAGTTGTCCACACTCCGGACTACATTTGTAGACAACAAAAATCAAAGGATGATAACTGTGCTATGACAAAATGGTAAATTAAAAATTAAAATACTTTGTTCTGATGACAAAGATCATGAAATATAGAAATTATTTTAATGGGCCACATTGTTCTTGTTCTTAGTAAATGAATTAAAACTTGAGCACACAATCCAGACATTTTCTCTCAACCATGTTATTACAGCTCGTCTATAAAAGCATGCAAAGCAAACCTTTGATCAACTTGCTTGCTATGTTTGCTTGGATGTTTGCAAACAATAGGTAGGCGGAGTTTCAGTCTGTTTTATATATACTGGGATTTGATTGGACAATAAAAATTGACATGCAATGAAGTTTATGTTTATTGTCCAATCGAAATTCCAGTATTTAGTAAACAGACTGAAACAGACTACCTACTTATTGTTTACAAACATCCAAACAAACATAGCAAGCAAGTTGATCAAAGGTTTGCTTTGCATGCTTTTATAGAAGAGCTGTAATACTATAAATTAGTTCTCTGCTATTTATCCCCTTAATTTACATGAATTTCTCTGTGTAAACAATAGTTTATTTCGAAATGGAAAGACTAATAATAGTAGCTTGTTCTGGTCATTTACATCTTTGTCATACCTTATATCAAGGAATTGTATATTTAAAAGGAATGGAAACGCGGCTCAAGATCAATCGGGATACCCGCCGAGCACCCGCAGAGCTATAATCCATGTCTGTCTCAATCGGAAGTATGATGAATAATATAAAGAATCATAAAGAATCATGACGGAGGTCCATTTCCTGTCATATAGATCGGTCTTTTAATTCACGGGGTCATCTTGCTTGAGAAGATATAAAGGAGAGAGAAACCCAAAATCAAGAATAAACTATTATTCCATGAAAAAGGTAGGGCCTTAGGTATCATTTTAATGCCTCATCAAACATACGTTTGTAATATTGTATTATGTAAATTCTCATTAAAATAGACCTTGGTCTTGAAACTTGAGCGAGTTTCATCCGGATTACAAAACAAAAAATCCTGTTTTTTGAAATTTTTCTAAAAGCTCGACAACAACGAAGTGCAAATCTAAACAGTTGATATCATTATGAAGCTGAAACCTTATTCTATCATTTTGCCTTTTTTTTAAGTTTCTGGTAAAATTTCTGAATTTTCTACGATTTTTCGAAATTTCAGTTTTGAATTTCATTATTCTGTCAAAATATGTCTATCAATCTGGGAGTGTACTACGATTTCTATCAAATAGTTTGTGCTTCAGATTGTATTCCTTTTGTCTTGCAGTTGAAAAACACAAACATAGCAATTTTCTTATTTTTCTGTTGTGTGCTCTTGTGCAACTTCGGGAAGCTGAGTGGTTTAAGTGGTTCATCTACTATATCACTAGCCTGTCAACACGGAGTTTGTGAATTTAAACCCTACACATGACCCGTGCATTTGAATCCAATCTTAATTGACTAGGCCTGCAACAATATAAACAGACTACCACAAAATAGCCAATAGTACTGAAAGTGATGTTAAAATACCCAAAGTGAATCAATCGACCAATCCTGTGCAGCAGTTTTATTCTTTGTTTTCCCTATGAAATGGATATCAAGTCACCTTTACCTCCTTTTCACCTTGAATTTTTACTATTTCACACATTAACATCATTTGAGAATAAATTTGAGCGGTCGCCATTAAACAGATCCAAATTATTAGTTATCTATTTTTCAGTTGTATAACAGTTAGAACAAACTGTTAACACAGAGATATGTCTCACTTTTTTTATTATTTTGATAGCAAGATGCAAATATTGAAATTAAAATAGCAATACTTTAACATGTTAGTTATGCAAAATATATAAAGTCAATGAACCATGACTGAAGATACATGGCCAAACAATCTCCATGGAAATGAGATGCCAACACAACTGCATACCATATATCATAAACCTACCACTATAGGTTCTCCATAAACTGACCTAATCACAACTTAATACATCTAAACAAAGCAAAAGTTTCAGTCAATACACCATAACTGAGGGGGTGGGGCTGAATAATCTCCATGGAATTGAGATATGCCAATGCTAATACAGCTGCATACCAAATATCATTGACCTACCACTAGAGGGTTCCCAAGAAACTGACCTAATAAAAAATTAATACATTGTTGACGACACAGACGCCGGTAACAGAATACCTGTATCTGGCTCTTTGACTCTGTCAAGGTGAGACAAAAACCAAGTCAAATCTATTTAATTTTCATATGCAATCTCCTGGCATCCTATAATTTGGTTTATTTTGAATCCACATTGAGAGATGATCATTCATACTGCAGACTATTAATAACTTTTGTCATGGTTTCTGTGCCATATTAACATTTTTGTTGGATTCAAAGTAAGAATTTCTGTTAGGATTAATAAAAGGCATAACAGATTGACATAAATAAAGACATATATTTAAATGAAACTTTTAATGCACAACTTCAAATGTTACAAATATTACAGAAACATTATCCACCGATATATCACTATATCACAATCTGAATAACACCATTCAAAGTTTCATCATTGTCTGAAAATTTTTCTTTTTTTTTTTTCAAAATTTTTTTTTCTATTTTTTGACAAAAATGCTGGATGCAATCAATACTATTTTTGATTGACTTTTGTGTTTTGTTCAAAGATGCAAATATAAACAAAACCATAGCACTGAATGAATAAACAAAAAATATGCAAGTTACTTGGTATTGAATCAATTCCTGATCAATTTTTGTACAAAAGAGTTCATATCAGTCTCTACAACACCACATTATTAAAGTACAAAAAATCATCTGAGTGAAGCACTTTCATAGGATGTTCATTTTAATCTGTACAATCACAACTTAGGTTTAAACGTTGTTTGCCGTTGAATATTGCCTTGCCACGTCTATAATGGCAGAATTATGCTACTTATACATCAAGTTGTGGACAAAAAAGAGTGGTCTGACACATTTACACACATACAAATTTTAAAAGTACCCCTTACAATCAATACATTAATGAATTTATAGGAAATTTAATTTAAATTTTGAAGTGAAATGAGGATGTTCAGATTTTGTTAACAAATGCATGGTTCAAACATTTAAAGCCCAAGGAAAACAAAAAGCTTTGAAAATCTGTTATCAAATTTGCCCAAAGACCAACTATTAAGAATGCTATAAAAAATAAATCAAAGTCCACATGCTGAATCATCCACAACTTAATATATATAAAAGCTGCCGACATGCTGTCTATGACACTTGTTGTGCCTGTGGCTTTCCAAAGCCACCTGATGAGCTACCACGATGTCCACTTCCACTTCCACGGCCACCTCTTGGAGCTCCTCTTCCTGCTGAAATGAGAATGTGTTATATTTAAAAGCTGAGTGGCATGTGAATCATGTATTCAGAATAAGAAACTCAACTTCTCAAATGATCTGATAAATTCTGAAGTCTTTGAAACAGAGGCCTACAAATGTTAACTAGAGATGTCGAAATGACACAAAAATAAACCAAAAATCAGCTGAAATCAAGCAAGGGAAATAAGTTATGATCCAATAATCATTTATTTCAAAATAAGAAAATTTTCTAGTAACAGTGACCTTGAACTTGAAACTATTGACCCCAAAAGCATGAAGAATTCATCCACTTGCCTATGTCTTTCAGTTTCATCCAATCAAGCAGAGAAACTAAAGTTGCATCCAGAAACTATTTGTTTCGGACACACAGGCCAAAGAATGGGGACAATAAAATGACTTCATGCTCGATTTTTTCCCCCAAGGAAAACGAAAAGATTAGAAATTTAAAATTTAAATTCCCCGGACCAAACAACTTCAAAGGACTAATTTCCAAATCTTAAATACAACATGTAAGTGTAGACAAAAGAAAACTCATTGAAGGAATGAATTTTTCTTTTATAGAAATTCAAATCAACCAAAATTCTCATTAATTCCAACTTGACGACGTATTATTTCAGAAACAACTTATAGACATAACATTCATCACATGAATATAATTGTTTTGGGTGGCTGAACAAATATCATGCTCCAAGAACAAAATCCATGCAAAACAAACATCACTCTCAGCCCATGTACAAGGGAGAGCAGTTTTTGCATGCCTCTTAAATGCATTCTTATATTAACAGGGTTGGTGCAGTCTTCCAAACATCCTTCAATGTATAGTTAATGACCACTTATAAATCTGAAGCTTATACAGCCATCTCAGATATGATGTTTGTTACTACGAATGTTATCAAGACTCAATAATAACCGTTTTTTTTTGGTATGTAAAAATTAGAGTTTAATAATAATGTTTTACCAATTAGTTAATTGATATCGTGATTGTTTGTGTGTATGCTTATTACTAGACATTAATTTCTGGAATGACATTAACGCAAAAATAGGATTATAACTGTAACAGTATTGTGGATAATACATCTGTGCCAATAAAGATGTACAAAGTTGACACGCACCTCCCCGAGGTCCACCCCGTGATTGACCACGTTTAAATCCTCCACCACCAGAATAGTTGCCATTGTAACCTTGGTAACCATCAGGACGATAGTTGTCTCTTGGTGGGTAGCCTTGGTAACCACCTAAATAAGTAAATGGTTTACACATTGTTAATCATAATGGTTTAAAAAGAGAAGAAAATATCAAGAAAATGCTTTTTGTATCTTTGACTGGGTTTCAATTGTATTTGTAGGATAATTAATGAGAGTGATCTACTTTGTATCACTATAATGTATACTGTAAACTAAGATACATATTTCTGAGCTATTTATTTTTCGTATCGCAAAATAACGCAACTATGAAGTGTTGAATACTGTAATTTCAAAAATTATTGCGAGGTTTTTATTACTGCCACTGGGTGAGTATTGCAATAGTTAAGACTCGCATTCTGCTATCTTATACATATTTCTGTATGGGGCATTTCATGAAAACGCAATAATAAATCTCGCATTTTTGTCAATTTTTCAAAAATCACAATAATAAATGCATGCAATAATTTCTGATTTTACAATATGTCAAACTTGGTTCTTCTCTTATATGGATACACAAAAAATGTAAATTTAATAGTCTACTGTTTAGCAAAAACTTTCATTTGCAACCTATTTATAAGTGATCATGTTAATGCTCTTCTACAGATGATTTGATTTTGCTGATGTCAGTGTTGAAAATAACTTACAGAATAGATTTTCTGATCTGCAGTTATTATGTGGCAACAACCTTTCATTAAAATAACATTCTGTAATCTGTAGAAAAAGTTGAACTTAATTTAAAGTATCAAGTACTAACCCCTGTTTCCACCCCTATAATTGCCTTCTGATCCACGGTTATTTCTGTTACCATATCCGTTTGACATTCCACCTCGATCACCACCTCTACCTCCACGTCCTTTCCACTGGTTCCCTCTATAACTATTGCCTGACTGGAAATTACCTCCTTCAAAAAATTAAATTCCATAAGTGTTAGCTTTTAAACCTGTATGTGAGATTATCTGATGAACCTAATTCTAGTTTTTCATAGAGATATTTTCATTGATATTAATTATATATATAATGTAAGCAGTGGTCTTGTTAACACCCTTGCCTTTCGGCCTTGATAAACCTGCAAATGTTTTACCTACAATTTTATTTAATAAATGGGGAATGTGTCCATGGGACACAGATGATGCCCCCGCTTGCCTATATATAACTCACAAACGGTAAAAGTGACGATATCCAAATTCAAACTTGATCTGAGTTTTGTGGTAATATGCATTGTGTATAAGTTTCATAACATTTGGTTGAGGCAAACTTAAGTTAGAGAACGGAAACAAAATATTCAGCAATTTTTCTATTTGTAAAGGGCATAACTCTAGAAACGTAAAAGTGACCCCACCCGAATTCAAACTTGATCTGTGTTATGTGGTAATAAGCTTTGTGTATAAGTTTCATAACATTTGGTTGAGGCAAACTTAAGTTAGAGAACAGAAACCAATTTTGGGACGTACGGACGTAGGTAAAACTTAATGCCCCCTCTGCTACAGCAGGGGCATAAAAACATGTTCTGCCTGATTTTGTCATGATAGCCATTCAGAATGCTCATCCCAGGCAGGAGAAGTAACCTGATATTAATTCTGATACGGAGAAGTGGTGAGACTTAAAAGAGAAGTGCAAGTTCTCTTGCGGAACTATGTTTGGTATTCACAATGATATATCTTGCCATTTGTATCCTATGTATTTAATTCATTTTTGGCATTGTTCAAATCCAATTTTATTTCATGCCTTAGAATATCATTAAGTAATAGTTTTCTCAGTTTATGTCTTAGTAATTTATAGTTACACAATCATATTTTTTCACTTGTTCAGAATTACCAACTACCTAGACCCCCTTGCATATTTAAAGAATAAAAAAGTAAAAAGAAAAAGAAATTGATCAATTTTAGTTCAATGAGGAAAATAATTTTGTTCAAATTAGAAACAAACGAAATTTGGGGGATCTAACCAAATGTCTTTTAATGCATGTCGAATACATATTTTTCCCTTTTGGGCTCATTATTCTCTTTTTGCTTTGGTCCAATATAATTGACTATTGTACCAGATATTATAAGTATACAAGAATATGTATCCATTGGAGCATCACTTTCATATGTCCATGTTCAGTGAACTGTAAAAATCGGGGTCAATTTAATTAATGTGTCATATTAGTTCACTGCACAAGGAACATGTGTAGTTTCAAGTTGATGTGACCCAAACAACAGGGTAAAACAAAAGTTTAAACCCAAGAATAATAAGATAACGTGATTGGCATGCCATAACCAAACAGGGTTCTTGTAAAGGCACGTTCAAGGATTCATCATTTTCTGTCTTGACCTGCCATATCAGGTTTCAGTGTGTCCTGCGTCATTGCTACATATGCTGAGTTATATCACAATCAAGATTAGCTTCTTGTAAATACTTTTACCAGAAATTGACTCCCGTTTTTGTTAATTGTTTGCAATTACGGTAAAATCAGAGATAAACAAAAAATATTGATCATGTGATTGTCTTACGCTAATGTGATAAAACCTGAGGAAATCAAAATTTATTTAAACCTTTTTAAACACCTTTTACTGGCAATAAATGAACTCATAACCCCAATCTACAGTAACACACAAATCAATACATACATTTAATTTGGTGATTATTTTTCCTACCTGTACATACCTTCTGATTGTTCATTTTGTGGTGAGTCTTCACCATCTGTGTGAGAGGATGAGTATAACTGAGACTGGAATACTCCTGCATTTGGATTCATGGTAAATTTCTTATCTGCTTGGGACTCGGAGGACTGTGAGTTCTGTTCAAAGAATACAATTTTCTATTTAACATCTAATTCTAATTTCGAAACCTTGGAATTACCCATTTTAACAGTTGTAGCACATATTTTGTTTTGAGTGACCATAATTGTATTTCTTGAATTTCATTTTATAATAAAAATGTTGAAAGACATAATCTTCACATTAAAGTTTTTTTTTTTGCATTTTATAATAATAAAAAAAAAACACTTACAGACAGTATATGACTACACAAATGAAAGTAATTTTCCTTACAGTCCTATATTTTAGTAAAATTGAAGAATACAGAGTTCACTTACAGTTTTATTCCTTTTAACTGAACCTATTACATGTGTACACACACTATGTATGAAACAATACTCATCAATCCATGGCACAAGATGATGAGAAAATACTTTATCCATCATTATGTTTACAAAGCTTGAATCCTACCTGTTGATTGGAATCGCGACCAGGTGGCATAGGTAAGGGCTGTGAATGCAATTCAAACTGGGAAATTGTTGAATCCGGCACACTTTGTCCTAAAACTTTTTGTGAAATAGTGTCCTGACTGAATAAAGAGTCTGCACTGTTTTGTCCATATGATTGTGATGAATGCCCAGGTTGTGAATATGACTGTGGTGTTTCTGTTGTCTGTGATAATGATGGTGTTTGTTGCTGCTGATGAACATCTCCTCCGTAACCAGAGTTGGTGAATGTCTGTGACATACCACTATCGGTCTGTCTTGATTGTGGTCTACCTGGCATTGGATGTGCTGCTACCACAGCTGGATCCATGTGAGGGGCTGTAAAATATATCAAACATAAGCTTTGATTGTCATAACAATCCTAATGTTTTAGTTTTACTAAGTTGTTGGGTAGATGTCTCACCAATACTCATATGTACTGTATATGATTTAGTAATAAGATTTTATTTTAATATGTCAGGTTGAAAAAAGTTACAGAACTTTTCCTTATTTCACTGAAGAAAAATCTTTTGCTGTCGGTTGATTTATATTTACATGTATTTTGAGTTAAGAGACTGAAAATATGATAATTTATCAATCAATAAAGCAATAGTTTGTTTTCAACAGTGTACAATCTATTTTGCAAATAAATATTCGACCAATGAAGGACATAAAGCTAGTGTCATGACTGAACCCACTGCTATGATGATATCTGGACCTACATATATCAATCACTAGTATATCTATACATGACTGAATCCGCTACTATGATGATATCTGGACCTACATATATCAATCACTAGTATATCTATACATGACTGAATCCACTACTATGATGATATCTGGACCTACATATATCAATCACTAGTATATCTATACATGACTGAACCCACTGCTATGATGATATCTGGACCTACATATATCAATCACTAGTATATCTATACATGACTGAACCCACTGCTATGATGATATCTGGACCTACATATATCAATCACTACTATATCTATACATGACTGAACCCACTGCTATGATGATATCTAGACCTACATATATCAATCACTAGTATATCTATACAAGAAAATAACTACAATGTATGTACACTTCCTAATGTATTGTTTCCCAGTGCAAACAAAAAAAACAGCTAATGGAATTCAATTGCTACACTTTTCTGTAGTCAATTATAGTAAAATATTACTTTGATCGCAATGAAATACCGAGATTTCTGAGTCAGATGAAAACCCATAATATCACACCTCCGACATCATACAACAAAGGTCATGTCTTAGTCAATTATGTTCCATGAAAACAAAGTGAGAAGACGAGGCAAAATATAGTTCCTTGCATTTTCTACTTTATTTACATTAAAAGTGAATGAAAGTAAAAGAAATAACTATTCAAGAATTCCAATATCGATAAGTCTACAACTGGAGACCAAACAACAGGAATAATTTTCTGATGCCCATTCTTGAATTATGGTGTTGTCCCCTCATTGTAAATTATTTTTTATTCATCATTTTTCAAATACAGATGTTTTCCCTCTGTTACTTTCCTAAACTAAATGTATAAAGAATTAATTATAAATTGTAACTACACTGCTAAAATATATTGCAGACAACAATAAATATACGTGTGGTAAATGTCATATAAAATCGTGCACACACACAGCAAACAGGCAATGTTATATAAATTAAACTACATGTAAATATTTGAATCTAATTAAATCTTCAAAAAGCAATTTTACATATAAGTAATAACGATGACATTGTATATTTGTAATACACATTACAATTTATAACCATCCTATAAAGTGAATTTAACTGAATTAGCATGGAAAATTATCAAGTCTACTGTGATTGTTATATACAATTTATCTTATTCAGTACGCATTTAAACCTGTTTGATGAACCATGTTACTTCATAATTTTGTGATACTTTTAGTGTAATTTTGACCCCCACTTCTTTGTGTTTCATACATAAAAACATTCAGAAATAAAAAGTAAAGGTTGAACAAAATTAAAACAGAGATATGTGTCGCCTTTTTGTAATTTTGATAATGCAAATGTTAAATTAAAATAGCAATACTTTAACATGTAAGTTATGCAAATATTCAAAGTCAATGAACCATGACTGAAGGTACATGGCTAAACAATCTCCATGGAATGAGATGTGCCAATGCTAATACAACTTCATTCCAAATACCATTGCTTTATCATAAGCCGTTTGCTTTAAAAAACCTAAACACAAACATTAACTTGTTAACTATGTAAAAGTTTCAAAGTCAATGAACCATGATGAGGGGGTGGAGCTATATAATCTCCATGGAAACGAGACTTGCAAATGCCAATAAATTTGCATACTAAATATCATTGACTTAACATTAGGGGTTCATCTTAAATTGATCTAATCAAAAACTAATACATGTAAACTAAGCAAAAGTTTCAAAGTAAATAGACCATGACTGAGGGGGCGGGGCCAAATATTCTCCATGGAAATGAGATGAGCTAATGCTTATACAACTGCATACCAATTAACATTGGCCAACCACTAATGGTTCCCCTTGAACTGACCTAATCACAAACATATACATGCTAAGCAAAAGTTTCAAAGTCAATAGATCATGACTGAGGGGGCAGGGCCAAATAATTTCCATTGAAATGAGATATGCCAACGATTATACAACTGCATACCAAATATCATTGACCTACCACTATAGGTTCTCCATAAACTGACCTAATCAGAAACTAAAACATGTAAATTAAGCAAAAAGTTTCAAAGTTTCAAAGTCAATAGACCATGATGACTGAGGGGGCAGGGCCAAATAATCTCTAGGGAAATGAGATGTGCCAATGCTAATACAACTGCATACCAAATATCATTGACCTACCACTAGTGGTTCACCATAAACTGGACCTTATCACAAACTAATTCATTGTTGACGCCACCGCTGGAAACAGCATACCCGTCTCACTTTTTGACTCTGTCAAGGCGAGACAAAAATTGAATATATACTATAAATACTAAGGACTATTATTCATAGACTACAGTAATCAAAGCTCTATAATGTCAGATACTGCTATTCCAAAACCCTTTTATTTCCATTGAACAAAGATATTAAGTCTGTATTAAATACAAATTTCTATAGTACAAAAGCATCAGAAGCCTAAAAAATATATTGGCTCTCTTTATAATGTGTTGGTGTCATATCAGTACTTTTTCAACCCTTGTATATCAAATGGGTATTTTTTTATATGTTAATTGTATATAATATTTTAATACACAGCAAACCAATACTTACAACAGTCCATGGCTGATAGCTGCAGACTAACACCTAATAATTATCAATAATTCATTGATTCTCTGATGCACGAGACCCTCAACATGCCAAACTTAAAAGGACAGACACATCCTCATATCATAAACAGTAAAACAGAAACTGGATTTTATTTTAAAATCTATAAAGATCTCACATTAACATTCTTATGGGTCAATTTGAGTCATTTACATTTTAGTAACTACAAATGTAGCCAAGTTTGCCAAAAAAATAATAAAAATAAATCTGTATTCCTTAAAATTAGATTAGTGAATTTGCCTCTTAAGGTGGTACCTAACACTACAGGGAGATAACTCTGTAAAAATCAGCTAAACGTTTTAATTACGTTGTATTGTTAAGGAAATATTAAGCTTCTCAATGATCAAAATTAGTGTTTGTCAAACTGCTATATAACCAAAGAAATTTTTCTGATAAAGTGGTTGGTTCAAATTTTTTGAAATTTTTATATTTTTGTCAAAGGGTCAAAGTAAACATTTTGTCAAAATTTTATGAAAATTAAACGAGCCAAATTAATGCTAGTCAAGGTGTTGGGTACCACCTTAAGTTTATAAATGTTAAAAATCTAGGAGCAAATAATACAGGAAAACAACAATTTAATACAACTCCCTCCCCTATTTCTGGTAAATGTTGTTTCTTTACCATGTTTACAAGAAGTGAGAAACAACAAACCAATAAGGTATCATATTCCCCATTACTGGTACTTAAGTATCTTAATTTACTAAGAACTGAAAGGTTTGCAGGGGTCAAAGGGCATTAAGAATCAATAACTGGTGGTTGGTTGTATTTTCCTAGAGAACTCTTTATGTATTATGTAGAATTTTTACCTTTTATTTAGAATATAAAGAAACCTCTTCATCTCCCACAACTGCCCCTCTTTCCAACAATAAATCGGGGAACAACCCTATCAAACTACATCCAAACCTGTATCATACCCTGAAACTGTTTTCTCTAAGCTCAGTAAAATTAATATAAATCAAACATTTATTTCATAAAGCTTTCACACAGAAATGAATAGAAAGCATGCCTGTTTGCTATAAGAGTCAAATCAAATGAATCTTAAGGTGGGTGAACTCCAAATGCTTTAGTATTATAATGAACACTGTAAAGTGAGATATTTTTGCAGACTAAAATTTGACAGTTTATATATAGGACCAATCATATTTGCAAGATTTCTTTTTAACGTTTTTCTTGTCCCTGGTTTTAATCCTCCTAAAAAAATCTAATTTACACAAGAGATGGTCTCATGATCCCGAAATTTCTGAAAATTGAAACCTTGCAAAAATTTCGCACTTTACAGTATAGTGGCAGAGTCAATTACTGCTCAAGTGAGACAGGCATATGCTGTGCATTAATTGCATATCTTACATTCCATATCTATTGTTGATTCTTGTAAAAAATTAAAGTTGCCTTGAACTGAAGAGACTATTTCTTGGAATGGTCGCTGGCGTTGGTAAGAGACATCTTGTTGTGTTGTTGTTGCCGTTGGAGCTTCTGAGAAAAAAGAATCTGGGTCCTGTAAATTGTTCATTGTTGGTTGTCCATTTTCTGTTGTCATTTCAGGTTGTTCTTCAGACACATCTGGTGGTAATGCAGACTGAACCTCTACAGAGTCTGGTTCAGGAACTTCCTGAGAGTTGACAACCACAAATTCCTGTTCCGTATTGCACTCCTCTGCAGTTTCTTCCTTGAGAGCTTGTTCAAAGTAGCCACACCCACTAATATCATCAATGAGTGCCTTTAATACCTTGTATGTTGTTCCTACTACTTCTTTCTCCTTTGCATCAATTAAGTTGACAACATGATCTGCGGCAGTGGTTAGTTGAGCTAGATGATCAACGTCAGCTTCCCGAGATGGATTAATCAGTTTATACAAATCGTCTAACTGATTAAGATTTTCTTCCGACAAAACCTGCAATTAAAATTGCACACTTTAAAACATGCTATGGCATTTGATTATTAACAGATTCTGAAAACTTATATAAAGAGTGAATTTCTTGTTTCTTTTAACCAGTTTTTTGTTATAAATGGAAAAATTTACAGTTTCTTTAAGTGACCATGATTAGGTAAAAAAGTGAAGGTACAATAAATAGTCAATTAAAAAAACTTAACAGGCAACTGATGTACTTAAATATTGTTAAAGTAAATGGGGAATTTTCCCCCGCTTCCACATAACTTTATGAAGGGACATAACTCAAGACGGTAATAGTGATGCTACCCAAATTTGTACTTGATCTGAGATTTGTGGTAATAAGCATTGTTCATAGGTTTCATAACATTTCGTTGAGGCAAACTTGAGTCAGAGAAACCAAAACTTCAGCAATTCAAAAAGTGGCATAACTCTAGAACTGTAAAATTGACACCATCAAAATGCAAACTTAATCTGTGTTTTGTGATAATAAGCATTGTGTATAAGATTCATAACATTTGGTGGAGGCAAACTTAAGTTAAGAGAATGGAAATGAAAAATTCAGCAATTTTTCCATTTGTAAAGGGGCATAACTCTAGAAAGGTAAAAGTTACGTCACCCAAATTCAAACTTGATCTAAGATTTGTGGTAATAAGCATTGTGTATAAGATTCATAACATTTGGTGGAGGCAAACTTAAGTTAGAGAACAGAAATGAAAAATTCAGCAATTTTTCCATTTGTAAAGGGGCATAACTCTAGAAAGGTAAAAGTTACGCCACCCAAATTCAAACTTGATCTGTGTATAGTGGTAATAAGCATAATGTATAAGTTTCATAACATTTGGTTGAGGCAAACTTAAGTTAGAGAACGGAAACCAATTTAGGGAAGTACGGACAAGGGTAAAACTTAATGCCCCCTCCGCTATGGTAAGGGCATAAAACATTTTCCTTGAATTAAACTGCCAGGGTTGTCTGGTGCTAACCTCAATACTGGAGGTTATGGGTTCATTCCCTGGCTGTCAATCAAAAGAATTTAAAACTGGTTTTTACTGCTTCCAAGTCAAGCAAGCAGTATTTAGAAGCAAGAAAAATATTGTAAGAGTTGGGTGACATGTCTTCATGCAGTCAGTTGTGAACAAGAACATAAAAATCCTTCTTTGAATAAAATATCAGGTTAATACCAAGCACTGTGATTTTTGTCTCCATGTTCTATTATATTCTTTTTTATGTCATCATTGCAAATCAAAAGTGTTTGTAGAAATTTGTATTACTACAAATCATACTACCAGGAACCGTTGTTATATGGTCAAAGCACAAAAGATAAATTAACTTTGTGCGAGATATTATTATTCTACCACCAAACTAACCACATCTCCATCCATGTCAGAGTTCTCGATAAGTGGTGGGCCAAGGGATTTGACCACCACATTTTTGGGAAGGACCAACACAATTTTGGTAATTTGCAATAGAAATGATAGCGAGGACCTTCATATTTTCTTCAAGGACCACCAGGCAAAAAAAGATTTCGAGAACTCTGCCATGTCTGCCTTTCTTGAAATCATTTTTTACTTAACACTGAACCTAGACCGTCAAGAAGAATTTAACTTACCACAGCTCCATGTCTGCCTTTCTGGAAATCACTTCTCACTTGATCTGAACCTAGACCGTCAAGAAGATTTTGAACCCTCAACATCTCCTTCACACGTTTAAGTTCAGCAGTCTGACGTTCCAACTTTTCCTTCTTTGCATGCTTCTTGTTGTACTTTTCAGCCTAAAATAATAAATGTCATATCAAATATAAAGTGATTTTTTAACCTTCAAAAGTTAAATGTTTGAAGGACCTTTAGCTAAAACATAACACTGCCAACAGTGTGAAACACCAAATCTGAACAAATTACTGATTACATTTTTTAGTTTGTTATCATTTGTCGAGCCTTCGACTTTTGTCGAAAAAGCAGGACAAAGCGATCCTACATTCCGTTGGCGTCGTCCACAAATATTCACTCTGTGGTTAAAGTTTTTGAAATTTTAATTACTTTCTTAAACTATCCTGGATTTCTACCAAACTTGGACAGAAGCTTGTTTATGATCATAAAAAAGTCTTCAGTTTCCGTATTTTACTTATAAATGGACAGTTTTTCTGCCAGGAAACATTACATTCACTCTGTGGTTAAAGTTTTTAAAATTTTAATAACTTTCTTAAACTATCCTGGGTTTGTACCAAACTTGGATAGAAGCTTGTTTATGATCAAAAGCTAGTATCTAGAAGGAAATTTTGTTCCTGTTTTTCCGTATTTTATTTATAAATGGATTTAGTTTTTCTTCCAGTTAACATTACATACAGTCTGCAGTTAAAGTTTTTAAAACATTTATTAGATTCATAAACTATCCTGGATTTTTACTAAACTTGGACAGAAGCTTCTTACAATCAAAAGATAGTATCGAGAGGAATATTTTTTTTTTTCCTCTTTTTTGTTGAGCCTGCGATTAACAGCAAAAATAGGCGAGACACTGGGTTCCGCGGAACCCTTACGAATTTTTTATTATGCATTGAAAATAAATTTGTGTTGAAGCATCATATTTTGATATCTAAGAACTGAAAAGAAGGGATCAGGTGTAGAAATCAATATAGGGTGCAGCATGGTTTAATAAATGCACTATAATCAAGTCTTCCATTTTCTGAAACCTGTCAAATGATTACAGCCCTCACTTTTTATTCGTAAGCTTTGTTCAGTTTGTTCATCTGTGTCTTATTGTAAAGGCCAACTATCTGAATTTAAAATTGTGTCTTTTAAATTGAACTGAACAAAGACGTTTGGTTCTTTAAGAACTGCCACATGCTAAAACTAAACTTCTTTAACTGATAATTTTGACCTTTGTTTTACTTTTGGTTTTTCACCTTGCAAGTATAACAGTAGAAATTGTCATTTAATTTCAACACACTGGCATGAAATTATAATTATTAACAGTACAAGATGATCTTACATCAGCATTGATAGAAAGAAACTGCTTCATAAGTTCTTGAGCAAAGATCAAGTTCTGTTCAACTTCATTGTACTTGTCAACTGCAACCTGCAAAATTTATTATTTTATATATCACAATACATCTCTCACATTATTTAAGTGGAAATTTCATATATTAAATTAACATCTTTACTTGTACATTAGATGTAGCAAATTTATATACATTTCTGTCAGCAACAGCCAAAAGGGGTCAAGAATTCAAAACATCAACAACTTCAAGTCACTGATACACTTGCCATATGGCCTCATGTAATTTTTTTATTAGGCAAACTGTACAAAAAAGGCTAACAGGTAAAAATAGTTTTGAACTTTTCAGTATGTAACTGGAGATCAATTCTAGTATGTTGTAGGATTCTTTATGTGAAAACACACACTACATACAATGGTTTTTAACATGTTTGTAGTCACAATACTGCACTTAAATAACAGATAAAATTTGAACAAGTATGTTACAGCTCATTTGGATGTGATCTTTTCCACCAGTCAATTGTAGGAGTGCAGAAAACTAGTAGATGGTCCCAGATGCCCATCCTTGTGTGGGGATGTTACTTCTTTTTTTGTCATAAAAATTGAACATACAATACCTTGGAACAATAAGATTAAGCTATTGTTTTTAATAATTTGATGAAATCTTTTGTTAAATTTGGGTGGAAAGGAAGAGGCTTTAGACTGGCTCAGTCTAGATCTGTCCACCCAAATTTAACAAAAGATTTCCACCCGAGCTGTAGTACATACATTTACATGTATCATACACTACTGTACCTGCTGGTCTTTCTCCAACGGAATTCCCTTATCCTGCTTCTCCCTGTAAGCATCTAACTTTCCCTGCAAAATTGAACAGAAGAAATCAGTCTGGATTTATATACATACATAAAAATATGATTTCAAATACAAGTTCAATTTTGGCATAGTCTTCAATTGGCAAACAAATCATTAGTTCCATTAATTAACAATACTAATAGCAGTGTGTGAAACCTTCTTTTTTCCTTACTCGCCAAATTGGCGAGCAGCTTTTCAATTCAACTCGCCAAATTGAATTCCACTTGCCAGCTTGGTGAGGGATTTACTTTTGGAACTCGCCGTCTTTTACATACATAATTATTAAAACGTATTCTTCCATTCCACTTACTAAATGTATGTACTTATGTTCATCATTTTAATCTATTGTAACTGGTACATGTAACTTGACAATTTAACTTACTATTTACATATAGTAGTCTCAGTTATATAAGGGAGCAGAGCAGTCAACTTATCTTGTGATTACCTTAGGAGAGGAGTTTCAAATACATTTTTACCACAACTGACAAGTCAAAAGTTTTTTTGTCATAACCATACTTCCTTATTCCAATGATTATGGATAAATCTTAGTACAAATGCTGGAGTTATTGAATTGAGCAGCCTCTTCTACTATAATTATCACATTCTTTATTAAAAAAAAATGAATAATTACACTGTTCTGCGCCACAGGCCTTTTTATGTTTTGTTTCTGGTTTTGCTTTTTTTAGTTCCTTTTGTTTGTTTAAATTATTCAGCCATAAGAACTCTTCCATTTTGAAATTACTATTTCATAATTTTCCTCCAGATTGAACTTGTTGAACATTCAGAAAAGTATAAATCAAAGAGCATGATTGCTCTGAGGGATACGATTGCCATTGTTTTCATTGATATTAGTCAGTGTAATGACAAAGTTCAGGTGTGATTGTGTTCCTATATACACCGTTTGGTGGTGCACCTGACAGTCGGAAAGTACAGATTATGCAACAGGTAACAGGTACTATTGGGATCGTGCCTGGAATGTCGTAATTTTCAATCAACACCATTGTCCTATATTAGTTAGATTTCGCGTGCAGTACGTCGATTGAGCATGCACGACATGCACAACAGTGTATAAGACAAAGATCAATAACAGTCTCAGAAATTTGGATATTTTCTCAAAAATTGGCATTTTCTGTGTAAAAACAAGTGTTTCAAAGACAAATTTAGGAAGAACAAAACACTAGATTTATACATGATATCACAAAAATTTCTGACTTTGTATGGGATTTGGGGCTCAATAAAATCAGTCTCTTCCTTTAGTAGTATAGATTCCTTCTAAATGTTATCAATCCCACCTAAGTGTCAAAAACATACATTTGTACAAGCACACAAAAGTCAATTGATTCTTTCTTTGGGTTTAGGATTCATATGGCCCAAAATGTTAAAATCCTAGACGTCTTCCAAAATTGCACACATTTAAATGATGATCGTGGGCAAGATTGTAAATTCTATCATGAAAGAAAAGCTTTTTTTGAAAACGGTATCTCAATTTAACAAAAAAATCTAATGGATTAAACTAAACCCTATTTTTTATGTTCTTCAACTTTCAACTTTGTATTTGATTCGACTTTCTTACTGTTTTGATTCATGTGCCACTGATGAGTTTTATGTAGCATTTCTAGCGTACCAAATTATAAGTTCCATACATTTTTTGTACATGAGATTTTGCTACTCATGCTTCTGTATCTTCTGTTAGTATGAAATAATCAACCTTTTTCTTCTGATGCATTTCTTGATTATATCCACTGTTCATTTAATACATTAAACATGTTTAAAGAAATTTTGATGACTGACACATAAATACTAGCTATTCATTGATGTCTTGTTAAAAAAGAAAAGCTATTCATCATGTTCATTGATGTCTAAATTACTTTGCCCAATTACAAATAACTGAGTACATTTTAATTTCTCAGTAAAATACAGAAAAAATTACATTAACATTTGTTTTTTCCTTCAAAATTTTGCTCTTTTGAACAAATTTACCCAATCCAGGTAGTACAAAAAAATTCTATGAAATTTGGAAAATTCAAATTAATGGAGAGATCGAAGTGATCGTAATATAAAGACTGGATTATTCGGGATGCCCTGTATGACATTATGGCACTTCTTGCTGCAAACAAAACATTCTTGTTCAAAACCATCATGCAGTTCAACACCACCGTAAATTGACTTCAAAATTTCTAATAGTTATATCGATTTCACCGTGAATCTTCTGAATATTTCGTCTGCATTCCTTCGCTAAATTCTTCTGTTCAAACACGTGTGTACATTGAAAACACGTTTCGTGCTCCATTGCACGTTTACAAACAATTTTAAACTCCTCCTTTTTTCTGCCATACACAGTGTTCTCCCCAGGATTTTTGGATAGCACCAGGGTAACGCGTGAGGACTGCTTGGTGAAATGATTCATACAATCAGTTGTGTCGTGTCACGTTGCGTTGCCTAGCGATATTTCTAGTAACTGTAGTTTTTATGTCTCCTGTTTTGTTTTACTGCTGTGGTACTGTGTTATGTAGACATTGAAAATTATTGGTAAAAAAGAAGTAAATAAACAGTTTGACATGTATACTTTAATATTTTTTAAAAATAAATAAAACAAGATACATTACAAAATATACATCTAAATTTAAGTTATTAAATCTTTTATAAAATCAATGATCAATAAGAATAAAATATCAATCAAAAGAGAACAAAAATATTCAATTTAAAAAACTTTCTTATTTCTAGAATGAAAGATGTTGTATTGTGAAAGGCTTCCTGTCATAAGGAGATATAAAATTAACAAGAATAAATATTGTATTACTATTTGAACCAGTTTCTATCTTAAATTTTAATAAAAAGAAATTTTTCATAAATTTCTAAACATTTTTCCTTAGATTTCATGTAAATATTAACTTTTCTTGTCCGGAATATCATATTAAATATTAAAGATAATTTGGCCATGGTTTAATCAGAGACATATAATACTATTATATAAGTATTGAGAAGTGTATAATGGTCAATTATACGTAATTATGAGCCAACTTTATAATGTACAAAATGTGTACCGTCGTGTGTACAACTATCGGGTCAACAAGGTTTTTGAACAAAGTATTTGCCGACTTGTCAGGTGGTGAGTGAAGCCATAAAATAGTTATCTTCCATCATAAAGTTATGATCTCTTAATTAAAACACAAAAGAATCATTGATTCAAGTGTTAATTACATCGATTAAATCCAATCAACAAAGGTTAACCTCATAAAGGTAAATCGATCTCGTGGTGTAAACAATCTGAACTGGTTTGAACTGGTCAAATTTCAACTGGAATTTTATACCGCACGGAAAAGATTTAACAAGTCGTTTAAAACTTTACCGATTTCCGATTTTTTAACCCAAAATTTTAGCACCACGGAGAAATATAATACATCGCGGTAAGAACGATACCACCACGGTAAAAAATTATACATTGCGGGCCCGCTGTCCTTTAAGGCCCTGGGGAGAACACTGCCATACGTCAGGATACATTGATCCCATGATGCAGCTTATTTTTAATTTCCGGTTGACCGGCGTTAATGGAGTGATCGAAGTGATCGTAATATGACGACTGGATTATTCGGGTTATGGAATTCCCTCTCTGACGTGATTCTAAATATATAAAACCCTAAATATAAATACTGCTTAATTCTGATTTTCAGTATTGGAAAATAAACGCAAATGAAAAAGGGAGATATCAAAACAGGAGGATTATGTGAAGAAATTTAACAGAATGTTGAATAAGTTAACGTTCCATCTCTTGTTTGTTTTTACTTTTTATAACAGGACGATCTTAAGAATCTGAGTTGTTCCTATAAATGTAAACACAAAACGGTTGACGTGAGAGTCTTGGAAGGGAGTCAATGGTAAAAGTCTATAGATTGCCTGACGGCACTCATGTCCCAAAAATGGCTTTCAAATACAATGCTCATCATGTATTTGCTGAAAATAAACATAAATGGACCATAGGAAGGTAAAATAAATATTAAATGTTTTATTTGTATCTCACTGATACCTAACTGTATGCATACTATGTTTATTTCAGTCATGTCAAGAAATAAAAATCCGTGAGGTGGGGATCGTATAGTAGGTTTTAGCATACTGATTCAATGAAGTGTCAAGGTCATCATAATAATGTTTTAATTTGTCAATCGCGATAAATAAACTGTTTAGGAGCTAGGAATATCATTTTTAGTAACACTACACATTGAAATTAGTTTTATAACAGACTTAAAATTCATGGACCTTTGACAATATAAGGCCTAACAACTGTCAAAATACTTCAACTGGCCAGAGATTTTTTTCCCTGGCCAGTTGAAGTACTTTATATCACTCGCCACATTGGCGAGTTACCAAGCATCAGTGCTTGCCATATTCATTTCTTACTCGCAAAGGCAAGTTGGCAAGCAAAGGTTTCACACACTGTTAATAGATAAACATACTAGCTAAGACAGGAATCTGATGTTCAGTAGTTGTCGTTTGTTGATGTGGTTCATAAGTGTTTCTCGTTTTTTTATATAGATTAGACCGTTGGTTTTTCTGTTTGAATGGTTTTACACTAGTAATTTTTTGGGGCCCTTTATAGCTTGCTGTTCGGTGTGAGCCAATGCTCCATGTTGAAGGCCATACCTTGACCTATAATGGTTTCCTTTTATAAATTGTAACTTGGATTGAGAGTTGTCTCATTGGCATTCATACCACATCTTCCTATATCTAATTAATGTTTACTTATTCAGTGTTATATCTATTCTCACTATTTTTAATATATACCACCTTCGATAAGTGTTAAGTATGACGATATATTTTCACTTTTGTTCTCGTACTAGGAACAACAATTTTTTTTTTATTTACCTGTGTACGTTATTTTATTTGGCGGGATTTTGTCCAAGGTTATGGTTGTCTTTTTGATATTGTTTTACATCTAACCCCTTGTTTTATTAATTTTGGATAAACATATATGCATTGTGTCATAGATCAAATTTATTTGTTCAGTGTATGTTCACTTGCTTTTGTTAATATGTCTTTTGATTGAGTTAAGCCATTTCAATTGATATTTTATAGTGTGTCTTACTATGTTGTGACATTACACTATTGTTTCAGTTAGGGTGAGGGTTGGCGCCTATTAAAACATTTAAACCAGCTGCATTTGTTTGCACCTGTCCTAAGTCAGGAACCTGATGTTCAGTGGTTGTTGTTTGTTGATGTGGTTCATAAATGTTCTCGTTTTTTATATAGATTAGACCGTTGGTTTTCCTGTTTGAATGTTTTTACACTAATTTTTGGGGCCCTTTATAGCTTGCTGTTCCGTGTGAGCCAAGGCTCTGTGTTGAAAGCTGTACTTTGACCTATAATGGTTTACTTTTACAAATTGTGACTTGGATGGAGAGTTGTCTCATTGGCACTCATACCACATCTTCTTATATCTAATTGCTTTTATTTCTACTTGCTTTCATAACCAGAATGTTTACTGCAAACTTATAATCAATAGCATCCTAGCTTATATTGTTCCTAATATTGAACATTTTGATTGATCAGTGTTTGCATAGGGAGTTCAAATGTCGGATATACATTTTCACAGGTTAACAATTTTAGGACACCCTAAGGCATTCAGCAATGAGCAAAACCAATAAACTATACATGTACCTATATTTGATTGCCAACCCTAAATAATTTAATTGCCTTTAAACAAAAATATAAGAGAAATTATTCAAATAGTGTTTAATTTTGCTAGAGAAGATGAAGAATCCTTTTTTTTTTAAAACACAGGCAAGTTGCATATGAAATGCATGTATAAATTTGGACATCATAAAGGTTCCCAAATTTTTTTAATCACAATAGAAAATGTCTGATGCCACAAGGAAAAGTGATTGTTGTACGACATTACTAGGTTGTCTCACAGATTCTAAAGTATAGCAAGTACATTCAAAATTACAAGTAATTGGAAGAAATAGTGACCCTGATAAGTGAGTAGCTGATACAGTATCTTATTTCACCAGGCTGTGGAAGATTCTTGTATATAAGGTTTTTATTCCCATTTATGAGTGGTATACCCAAAACTTGATGATCTTCCCCAACATGTTCAATGAACTAAAAGTGATCTATGTATTGTAGTTTGAAAGAACAAAATCATGCTTTGAAATATACGTCTTACTTCATCAAATGGTATTAAGCTATCGTAACTCGACTTCTTGTCATACGACCGTTTTGAAATTATAAGAGAACCTTGCATTTTTAATACGTTTCCGGTTTTGTCCGCCATTTTGTCTCGTAAATGCGTCATGACCATTTTTGAACAAAACTGAATAGTCTTTGTACATACAATCCAATAGACTACAACAAGAATATGAAATGTGGCATCTTTAATCATCAATCTTTAACGCCATGAAACATACAATATACTGCAATAGTAATTGTTTGAGAATAAACGAAGAAACAGAAGTTGCTAGGGTCGAATTTCTAAGATCAAATGAATACTAGTTCACAATAATTTACCTTTCTTTTCTCAAGATTTCGAACTTTTTTTTCTAAAACTGCTAGGATCTGTTTCATTGGATCCCCAGCATCCGAATTGACTTGTTTCTCTGCTTTTGTAGAGGCGGCAGGCATCGTTCAACGGCAACAACTCGACATAGATTTTTCACGTGCTTCGATAATTTTCGTAGTTCCTTAGTCTTAAGAGTACGGAGTTTTGACCCTTCGATTACAAGAGACGAATAAATGTGCAAATAGTACAGTCGAAAAGCACTTATTTTAGAAAAAAAGAGATCGAGAATATATTGAATCATTAGTTGAATCCCAATTAAATAAATTTAAGGAGCACCGAGTAAACTGGATACCTGTTTAGTTTTGAGCATAGTGTAAGGAAATTCCAGTTGAAAATAAGAAAGAGGTAAGCGTTCTGTTATAAATATAAATCACCAGATATAATTGGAGCACTCCAATTATCTTTGTCTTTATGTCAGTACGATTTACTATTTATGAATACGTGGCAAAATCCAAGGGTTGTGTGAGTCCTACAAGTATATGTACAAAATGTGAAAATAAAAAATGTACGTTAAATTTGGGACTATTATACGTCAATATATTATGTCCCAGGTTAAATGTGATTAAACTGTCTTGTACAATGGTATCAGGTCGTTCCAGCTATTATAAGTTATATGGTTCGCTACTGACCCCCTACGGATCCATAGAGGGTGAGTAAAATCCATAGGGGGTGAGGCCGAAGGCCGAATCTCCTATGGATTTTATTCACCCTCTATGGTCCGTAGGGGTCAGTAGTTAACCGTATAACGAATTTATCGCCCGCGAGACTTTTTTCCGCTGTGTTTTGTAGAGAAATAAACAATTAAACACAATAACATTAATAGATGACGTCACTATTAACAGTAGACGTGACGTCATGAACCCCCTATACAATTTACTAACCCCTACGGATCCATAGGGGGTCACCACGTAGCCCAGTAGAACCCGCAAAAATCATAGTTTCACTTTCAGACACATTTCTACCAAAAAATTTAAGATACATATAAATTTTCATTTTTTCCGTACACCATTACTCAGTGGAATTTACTACCAGTCCACACAGTCGCTGTAACCACAGTCGACACTTTCAGAGAACAGCTTACACCAACTGTTCTCCACAAATTCATTTAACTCATTATTAGCCTATGTACAAAGTTTTAATCACAATCTAAAATTCTTCGATCCGCACTCCAAATTCATTTTCAATTATTTTTGTGTTTTTGTAAATATATATATAGGCCACGCAGCGCAAAACAGTACATAATCTTCAGATAATGAAGGACTACTGAAAACCGAAAGAAGAAGATGATAGGAGAAACCGATTTTTGGTGGTAGTATATGCCGTAAATCGATTAGACGGAAGTAAATAAGAATGAAATTTTGACTTCTTTCTACATTCAAGTCCGTGTGCTCAACAGAGAGTCAAATAGTAAACAATCATATCATAACCACACCACAGCTTAAGGCCTCGTCTGAACATTTGAAGGTCCCTACTATCTATTGGTTACCTAAACTACAAAAAAACCTGTAGATATCGTTTCATCTCGGCCTCTAGTAAGTGTTCTACAACTAATCTTTTAGTGCTTTTAACTAGTTCCTTAAATACTACCAAAGAACTTATTATTAACTTTTGTAATAAAACATATGAAAATAGTGGAATTAACTAATTTTGGAGTGTAAAAAAAATCTTTGGATGTTTTAGATAAATTGCGTGCTCTTCATGGTCCTTTTCATTTAATTCTGTTGACAGTTTTGACTTTTCAACTCTTTACACTACACTTTCACACAATCTCATCTGACAAAAGTTTTCCTATTTAATTAAATGGTCGTTTGATAAATATGATTGCAAATATATTTGCTGCAACTCATTTAAAGCCGTCTTCTCTAATGAGAAAGTTAAATATGCTAGATATACTTACTGGAGGTGTGATGAAATGATTGAAGCTGTCATTTTTTTCTTTGTTAACATTTATGTACGTTTCGGCTATAAAGTTTATCGACAAGTTGTAGGTATTCCTATGGGCACCAATTGCGTCCCTTTAATAGCAGATTTGTTCTTGTACTGTAATGAATCACAGTTTATGGCCAAACTTAGTAAAGACTCGTATAAATTGCATTTAATTGTTAAATTCAACAACAATTACCGTTATTTTGATGATTTTTTTTTATTAAATAAGCAAGGATTTTGTAAATGTACTGAAGAAATTTACCCAAAGGAACTTAATTACTTTAAATAAATCAAATATAAACGATAATAACTGTCCTTTCCTAACCGACCGTGCGAGGGCTTTACAGCCAGTCAAGGTAGTTAAAAACCCCCATCATCATCATCCTCTCCTAGATTTAGGTATTTCAGTTTTACACGGGAAACTCTAAACTAAAATTTACGACAATAGGGACGATTTTTCGTTCCCTATTGTTAATTTTCCTTTTACCGACCGTGCAAGACCCTCATGGGTAGTCAAGGTCGTCAAAAACCCCCATCGTCGTCGTCCTTCGTAGATTTTTATATTTCAGTTTAACACGATTTGAGCAACAAAAGTTGTTGGTTTTATTTGGTAATGTTGACTCTGATAAAATGAATACAATAGTTTATGAAGAAGTATTCATGATTTGTTTAATTGAATCTTTTATTAATGGTGTAAAAGTTAGTTTTGTCAATTTCATGTTATTTATAGGATATAGCGAGATATTGTATTTTCAGAGAAAGGAATTTATTTAAAAATATGAACAGTAATATTGATCTTATAAGACTTTTTATAACTTACCTGTATGAATATTTGTGTGGTGTAAGATGATGCATGAGAAATGTTTTTGAATAAAAAAAAAACACTGTTTAAAGGACAATATACTTGTGCAAGAGACTGAAGGTGTCATTGCATTCAATAAAATTGAGAATGGAAATGGGGAATGTGTCCAAGAGACAACAACCCGACCATAGAGCAGACAACAGCTGAAGGCCACCAATAGGTCTTCAATGCAGCGAGAAACACTAATAACTATTGTGTTGATGATATATGACATTATACATTTAACCATGGTTTTGTGGATATTCTTGTGTAATATGTAATCTAATTATTGTATATAAATGTTGAATTTTTAAATTAAGATAAAAAAAACAAAAAAACACGGGAAACTCAACACAAAAATTCACGACAAAAGGGATGATTTTTCGTTCCCTATTGTTAATTTTCCTTTTTTGACGGTAATGTTCCTTTGCCACCATCTTACGGTGTTTATATATTACAACTCGTTCGCTATGCCCTTGCCAGTAGTGACGTTTTGGATTTCAATGGACGTAATCTATGTATTTATTGGTAAATTATTAAAAACTATTAAGTCAGGGATTTCGTTACCACAAATTACTTAAAACTTTAACTAAATTCTTCCATAGATACACATATTTGGTTTGGAAGTTTGGCTGTACATGTACCTATAGAAAACTTACTTCAAACGGGATAGCACATCCTAATTTTTACGGAGATGTTGTTTACCCGAGTCCGTCGATTTAGATACGATCCGGGTCAACTTATCGATCCTTTATTTAAATAGACTTATTCTAAAAGGTTACCAAAAATATTATTGTTATATACCCATGCACACTGATGGCTCTGCGTACTATCTGTCGATACCTGTATCTTTGCATTGCACAAGGTTTTTTCTCTGACTGTTAATGACGTCTTTACACTATATTCATTGGATGTTGGGTATGTACTGATTGATATTTTAGTCTTAGATGCATGATTTTTTTTATTAGTTGATATTGGCTTTGGAATTGCTGTCAGTAACTGTTTTTTGTTCTTACGGGGATGTATGAATACCCTGCCACGCCCAGTCTGTGTTTTTGTTAGATGTTTTTCTGCTCTGTATCTATCAGATGAGTTAAGCCCTTTTCAACTGATTTTTATAGTTTGTTCTTATGTTATACTGTTACACCATTGTTGCAGGTTAGGGTTAGTGTTTGGCGTCAGCAAACTAGTATAACCCTGCCACAATCTGCATGTGCCCGTACCAACGCAGGAGCCTGTAATTCAGTGGTTGTCGTTTCTACTGTATATCATGTGGCATATTTGTTTTTCGTTCATTGTTTTGTGCATAAATCAGGCCGTTAGTTTTCTCGTTTGAATTGTTCTTGACTTAGATGGTTTTGGCATGTTCTCTTACGACCTGAGGCAATCTTTATACGTGACCTTGTAACCTAAGGGGATTCCCAATTTTTGTAATTTGTGTTTAAGCTTAGAATGCATCAATGTGCGAAAGTAGATGTCAAATGATTAATGATATTGCACATCGAAGGGAACGGTTATATGTACTAGTACTTTAACAAATCTTTGGAATTGATTGTTGATAGAATATTTGTTAGTAGTTTGGAAAGATATTTCGTGTCAGTATTTATAGACTCAGATATATATTTCACGTTGAATGTTATAAAACGATTAGAATGAAGGAAAACCAAGTCCTTCATCGTTGGTTAAAGTTCCAACGGAACACAGAAAGATCCACGAGTTTTTCGGATATATATTTTTTTTTGTTCCAATTGAATTGTCGATACCTAATTCGATAATCAAACAGTTGATATAATATGAATGACACTTTACATCTTAATATCTTGGGCCTTTCCGAGGACATCACTATACTTGTTATTGAGGTACCACAAGTATCTAGGGCCTTGTTTGGAGGACAACAATATCCTCGTCATTGAGTTACAACGAATCTAGCAACTGTTTAAATCTTGAAAATGTTGCGTTCAGTGTTAATAGACCTTATTTTTTGTTGTAAATTTAAATTTTTGTCAACGACATCACAGCTTTAACCCTATCGGAGGATTATCTTAAATTCTAATTTACATCAACGACTTCATAGCTTAAATTCCAACCATCAGGCATAAACCCAGGACAGAATTTCGTTTTGGTTTTGGAAATATATTATAATTTGAAATCTATGAGAGAAAAAAAGCGAAATTGAGCAAAATGGCTGGCCCTTAACTCTCCAAAATTTCGTCTGGACAATTTTGTTGATGTACAGACACACTACATAAGTATATGTGTGCATTATAATTTCCTTGTCACAATGAGCTCAGAGCAAACAGTGCACAGGCAAATGAAAACGCTACGCTCCTCATAATTCTTATGGTTATGTATAATGTAGTACATTTGCACATTTGGAAAAATA